AGAGTATCTACGTCTTCTTTCTCGCGTTTAATCCATTGTCTGGCATAATCCTCGAATGCATTCATCAGTATTTTCCAGTTGTGTTTCCAATCGATGGATTTAGAAATGTCTGACCAATTTCGCTGATAATTGTTATTGACAATGTTTAGGTCACCAGTAATAACGTGGTCAGTCGGATAAGATATAAATGGGGAACTAGCACAGGTGCAATCAGGAGGTTTATAATTGAAGTCGTCAATATTGAGATCCTGCAACACGTGTTTGTAAATAGGTATAAGAAATGATAGGTACAGAATGATCTTTAGAATAGAGAGGTATTTTCGAGTGAACTGATTAATGATGAAGAATATCATGAATAATGCCCAAGTTGATCATGTTGATGGCATCGAGACCTTTGTTGACAAAGGAAAATTTGAGAAAGGATATTTTCTTCTTTTCATCTTTTCCCATTCGAACTTGTTTGAAAAGTCTATGACTGGCAATATCCGAGATGATAGCTGTAGGTTTGTGTTGGTTTGAATGGGGATTTGTAACACAGACTTCCAAACATGAGTTGCACATAAAATGAAGTTTTGAAAGGGTAGTGCGAATGTGATGAATACCCAACGGCTTTTGTATAAATTGCAGCAGGGCATTAATAGATACATTATGGAGAGTATCTGATGTATTATGCCGATGACCATGACTGCGTCTGCGTTGAGGAGTTGAGTTGAAAATGTTCATCACATTCACCTAGCTACAGGAAGGAGTAGGTAGAATAACAATACCATCAACTTTGTCCTTGCAACCATATGCTGCCACAGTTCACAAATCCCGAATCCAGTAGTCTTTCTTTTGTCTACGGAGATGTGCTGCAAGATGAGGATTGTTAGTCTTGTGGTGGTATATAAACAATGTTAATTGTTGTTGATGTCTGGGCTATTGGCGCGCAAATGTTTATTAAACCTTCCTTTCGTTTCACCGACAATTTGTAAAGTTTACATTCGAATCTGTAGACGATATTTGTTGATTTACAATTCAGATCATCGAAGGTTCTGGTGAAGTAGGAATTTTAGTTAAATTGCTAGTAAATTGAGCATTGTTATTAAATTTTACAGGTTTTGTAGTTTTTGATCTAATTCATTTTGATCTGAACCGTTCTTAAGAGACCGAACAATAAATTATAAGTTATTTTTAATCTTTTCCGTAAATTTAGTTCAGACTGTTTAATATGCTGTTATTTACCTTTCCACATCAAAATTATACTGAATTATATGAAAAGCTACTGAACAGAACTTAATTTACTTCTAGCGAATTATTTGAACAATACTGAATCTACCGCAGTTGGTAAGTTTAAGTATTGACTGAAAGACTGAACATGACTTAATAATTTATTGTTCATACTTTTTAGATGATTTTTCAGACCGTTTCAGAGGAAAGATATAGCTAGTACCTTAACGATTTAAACACGAAACAATAATCGACTCATGTAACATGATTGGCGGAACATTTCTAGCCTTCCGCGGGACTCTGTATCAATATCACTCAAATATGCTTTCTTCTTTTCTTTACCCACTTAACTATTTATTCATAGTTTTTTGGGAAAGGAATATTTTCCTAACAAGTTCATAAATGTCGAAATATGAGTTTGTCAGAATGTGTCTCTTGATAAAGTTGAAAATTGAGATAAAAACTATCGCTTCCATTTAATTTTTAAATAAATCTAAAAGCCATTTATTATAACATTTGTAGATAAAAAAAAGTTCCCTGTATAGGTTGTATTTTAGAAAGTGTAGTCGATTAAGGATTGTTCTGTGTTGTTTTGTTTCACTGGAACAACAGTTTAAAATGCAATATGAGTGCAAACACAAGTGACATATCCAGGCAAAATATTTTATATCCCTTGAAGTTTATTCACTTGTAGTATTTTATTAATTTTATTGATAAACAATTTATAGATGTCACCGAATTTGTTTGTACTGCTTAAATCATTAAACGCATGTGTCATAAGTAATACACACTGAGAAAATAAGATAATTATTCGATGAGGAATGCTGTCAAAAAAGCACGTTTGTTCCCCCTTTCAATGTTGTTATTCCTGAATGCAGTGGAGAAGATTATTACTTTGCACAACGCTAAATATAAGTATCAACAGGATGTAGAACGAGAAGATGAATATAAACCAACTTTATACTAGACCGACAAATAATTCTGAATCCGGACCGTCCAATCGTTGCTCTTACTTCTATATTTTAACTGCTTAGCAGAGAGACAGCAAAAATTTGATTTAAACTGGCGAGGATCGAACCCAATACCTCCCGCACTTGAAGCAGGTAAATTACCACAAGAATGCCGAGGATGCAATAAATATTGAAGATAAACACACATAATAATTTGAAACAAAAATATGTGGCCATACAACACTGTACTCCCTCATATTACCACATTTCCATGTTAAAAAACTACTCAACCCGTGTCAAACCCAAAAGTATAAAGTTTTGAAAGTTATAGATGTTAAACGACACGGATGCACAGAGACCAGAAAATATAATATCCCTTGCTTCTAATGTAGTCTGCACATGTTGACATGAATTATCATTCATATGGTCATAATTATAAAGTAACTGATATCCAAGCTTTGAACTGTTTTCAATACTAAGGGTTTTCTAGTGCAGGAATAGACTTTGTTGTATATTGTACAACCTTTCGAAATTTTGGGTCCTCAATGCTCTTCGAATTCTTACTTCATTTGGCCTTTCTAACTGTTTATATTCTAGCATCACTGATGAGTCTTTTGCAGACGAAATGCGCGTCTGGGTAAGGAACGTTTAACCTAGTGTCTATGCAGAGTTCATTTATAAATTGCTCATAAAATTAAAAGAATCCTACTTAATAAAACTGCAATCAAATATTCCAACATGTTAAAATCCAAACATTTTATAGATACATTTTTAACAATGATAATTACACATACATACTCTTCCTAGAACCCATGCATCATTATAATTAAAGACAAGAAGTAAAAAATAACTCATTTAGTAAAATGTAATATTGTTTTTCCTTGAAAATGCATCCTTTTTGAATTCCGTTGGATAACATTCAACGGAAAGTCGTTAAAGTACTATCAAATTCCTTCCTTTATAAAAACGTGGTACCAATTTGCACTTTTATCTCAGCCAATTATTCCGAGAAAATGTTTTAAAAAAAGTAAGTCGTGTACACCTTTAAAATTCCGGCGTGCTTAAAACTCCTATTTTAACCTTATAACTCAAAAATAGAAATATCATCTGGCTTCGGACTGAATTTTAAAATATTTTCAAGCTTAATTTTGATTTAATAGTTTTAAGAATTCCCCCTTTGGGAACTAAATATATGCGTCAAGTGAACTTATCAAGTAATGGTCGGTGCATTTGATTACCTAGACTAGATTAATTATTCGCTTAGAAAGGTTGTTGTCAATAAAATCACCAAGAATTTTATAAAAGAGTATATGAAGATTTAAAATAAAAAAATAGATTAATGTTTAATTAACGTATATTCCAACAGAGTATACATGTATGTATTCCTCGAACATAAAATGCATGCAGTCTACGGTCCCCTACATCATTTTTTAATGCAATAAGCCGAGATACGTTTAGAAAGGGCGGTTATGTTGAGTATTATGATTGTTTAGGAAATCATTATTACAATTTCTTGGTTTATTTACAGATGCCTTTGATACATACGTTACTGACTGGAACAAGGACGATATAAAATTTTACGTTACATTGGGAACAAAAAAAATACACGAAATGATCAAAGAAAAAAACTGCGTTCTAGTTGTCGGCCGCTCGAGAAACGGAAAATCAGCTATAATACGACACATTGCTCTTAAATTCTTTAACGAAGACAGGTATGATATTGTTCCCATTGTTTTGGATCCAACTACCATTTTGCAGTACCATAACCCCGAAAGAAAGCAAATTTTTGTTATTGATGATTTTTGTGGAAAAGTGGTTATAAATCCCCAACATGTCGAAATGTGGTCATTACACATGGACGATATATTGAAATTGATCATTCATAATCAAGAACACACAGATCAAATCCTTGGAAAAGGAAATGTAAAACTTTTATTTGCAACTGTTTCGGATATTTTTGAAGACTTACTTTTTAATCGTATTAACTGTCTATCAAAGTTCCAATTTAATCTTTCTGAACTACCATTACAAGATAACGAAAAAATTGAAATGATTGACAAATATTTCACACAGGAACAAATGGCAGACACATTCACAAGTACGTTAAAACGACACGAAGACATGTATCCCTTTTTATGTAAATTGTCTGTAGGAAAATCAGCAGAACAGATAATACAGTTATTTACAAATCCTAATAAGGTTATCAGACATGATTTTCTGGTGCTTATAGAAACAAACAAAGCTCAAATGTGTTTGATTGCTTTGTGTGTATTATTAGAAAGTATAAAGGATGGTGTATTTTGTAAGGAACATATACCCGAAGAAGATAGAGTCGTTATAGAAGCTGTTTGCTCGGAGTTTGATCTCGATCTTCACAAAGAATCAACAAGATCTAAACTAGATAACGAACTTAGATATCTTGAAGATACATACTTTGTTAAATCATGTTATTCCTATCACCTTGCGCATAAAAACATTTATGACATTGCGGCAGTATTATGTGGTGAGATAATCAGTAACATTTTCATAAGATTTGCACCTAGTTCTTTCATTGCCGAGAAGTATTCTTTTATGTCAACTGGCGAGGAGGAAAGACACAATCTTATATTCATTCATGACGATGAAACACAAAAAAGATACTTTGACAGATTAATGAACGACTTAGAACAAAGTATCACGTACAGTACATTCCACAACAGCCAACTCATAAATAAATCATACAGAGACAAATTTTGTGTATACTGCAGACAAAGAAAACAACAGGTAATAGAAATATTGAATAGATTACAAAATCACATTTTAAAAGAGTCTGAAAATGAAACAAACAAAAAAACAGCGACTGGTGAAGACAGCAATAATGAATATGAAGATTACCTAAATTTTACGGAGCAAATCCAATTTTCGTCACATAAAATGAAGAAACCATTAATTGAATCGGCATGGGAAGGGTATGAAGATATTGTCAATCTGTTAATATATATGGAACGCGACGTAAATGAAACTGACAAATTCGGAAGATCGGCATTGTTTGTTGCCTGCCATTTGGGTAGGACTAATATAGCTGTACAACTTCTAAATAATGGAGCTAAGCATTCATTGTGTGAGGCAAATGAAACATCACCTCTTCATGCTGCTTGTAGAGGTGGATACTCAAAAATAGTAGAAGCTTTGCTGGAAAATGATGCTGATATTTCCGCATGCGATACAAATGGTTATTCTCCTCTTCTTGTGGCTAGTGAAGCTGGTCACATAAAAATTGTAGAAAAATTATTACATGTAGCAGACCAAAACAATGTAAATATTTTTCAACATGACAATTTCGATCGTTCTGCTGTCTTAATTGCTTCAATTAATGACAGAAAAGAAGTTGTTGATCTTTTATTACAGAAAGGGGCTGGACTTGAATGTGATAGACTTGGTTTATCTCCGTTATTAGCAGCCTGTTCTGTGGGGAAGTCAGATGTAGTTATTAATTTGTTAGAACAGAAAGCGGATATTTCAAAGATCGATAATGATGGACGATCTGCACTGTTTATTGCATGTGAAAAGGAAGATAATAGAATTGTAGAGATTTTGCTTCAGAATAAAGCAGATGTTTCACACTGTGATCGGCACCGTCAATCGCCATTATTTATTGCATGCGCTTTGGGGGATGACACAAATGTTCGGTCGTTAGTTAAGTATGAGGCTGACATTTCGCAGTGTGACGAAAATGGTAGGACACCCTTCTTTATAACATGCGAACAAGGACATGATACTATTATGGATATGTTATTGCCTAAGTGTGATGTCGAAGTTCTAGAGAAAGCCGACAACAAAGACTGTTCGCCATTATACGTAGCGTGTAAAGGGGGATTTATTAGAATTGTTAAAACGCTAGTCGATAGGGGTGCACAGATAAACAAACGTAATAAATTGCAAATGACGCCTTTATTCGTAGCTTGCAGAGAAGGTCATTATGATGTTATCCAGTATTTAGTTACTGCAAAGGCTGATTTGAATCTTCCAGCTTATAATGGCCAAACTCCTCTTTCCGTAGCTTGCGATTGGGGATATGCTGACGTCGTTGCATATTTAATCGAAAATGGTGCTGATGTTAATCACAGAGATACTGGTCACAAAACGCCTTTAGAAATAGCAGAAATTAGAGGACACAGCAACATTGTAGACATTTTGAACGACATACATTATCAGAAATGAACCTTTTACGTCATTTGTTTTTTTTTTTGGTGGAGAGTTGTCTCATGGCAATTATATCGCAACTTTTTTATTTAAAAATGTATTGATACAGTTTTTTTTAATGTGAATTTATCAACTTACATAATATTAATTTATTCATAGACACTTATTTTCCACTTCCTAGAAAAATAGCTGGTTTGTGGATCGTAAGATTCGTTGTTTCTTAATTAAGAGCATATTGCTAATAAATAGACTATACTCTACGACTTAAAATATACTTTATGTCTGTATAAGTTAGACATGAACGCATATTCTATCTCATATTTCCTTTGTGATTAGAAATTATCTTTAAAATTTAGACAAGTCATACAAATAGTGTTCCTTTATAAATAGAATGTAGGTAATCAACAATCATAAAAGTTAGACGCATAGAAAACACTAATGATCATTGAAAAAGGTGAGGAAGGCAACAAAGAGTACATAGACAGTTACCCTGAAAAGGTTAAGATTGAGGGACAATTCTGAAAGTTACCATTGGAGCTATTTTTCAAATGAAAACTGAGATAAGCAAATCTTGAAGATTTAAAATATTTTACAATACCCTATTGCGACAAAGAAGCTCCTAACGTCCGTCTTTAACGTAAATACCCCCTGAAATGTAAACGTGAAATTGGAGCATTGGATGTATCAATATATTTTTAAAAAGAGCGTAATGTTCATCAGTTTTTCCCGGACAGTTATGTAATATCAATTTTGAATAAAACAGTGTTTTTTTAAAAGGCTTGTGATATAAGGTAATATTGATTTTATTTTTGAACATTGTATGTTTAGGCACTTAAATATAAAACAAACCATAACTATGTATTTTACGATAAAAAATTCATAATTTTGTAAAAGATGGACGAGCTAAATAAATGTAATATGACGTAATTCCTAATTCAGTATGTTTTATGATTAAAATGCTTTGGCTTTTCCTAAACATTGCATTCGATATTGAATTTTTATAAGTGTTTACATGGTCGAAACAAACGAAACTTAATAAATCAACACACGAAAGAGGCGCAATGAATAAATTAAAAATGTACAATTACTTAAAGTAGACTGACCAAACTTAGTGTTGCTTGCTTCTGTGCTATTTGTTCTTTAGTGGTCTTATTGGTAATAACATCTCATGTGTGTCATTCCTTCTTTGACTGTCTATGGCGTTCAAACACTAAATCCCTGGGATGTGTTTTAATTGATTTTAGTATCTGATGCATGATTTTTTATTGTTAATTGTTTTTGGCTTTTAACTAGCTTTCAGTAACTGCGAGTACTCTCACATCGTACTTTCGTGTTAATTTGACCTGTTGACACAACTTGTAATGCATTTCTGTAATTCAATGTTTATTTATTTTGTGTTATATCTTGTGTCACTATTTTTATACGTACAACCTATGATACGTATTTAGTATGGCTATACATTTTTACTTCTGTACTCGTACTCTGAACAACAAATTTATTTATTTTGTTAAAAATGCGTACTCCTAACAAGTTGAACATAATTATTATATTTAAATTTACCTGTATTTAACGCTATTTTGTCCAGGGTTAGAGTTGTCTTTTTCACATTATTCCTAAATGTTTTTAATAACTACCTGTAACGTATATGTTATATAGGAACCTACGTTTTAATAGTGTATTAATATTGTTTCATAGATCAAACTAATTCGTTCAGTGTATGTTTATTTGTTTTAGTTTAAATGTCTTTTCGGTCGAGTTAAGCCATTTCAATTGATATTTTATAGTGTGTATTTTTATTTTGTAATGTTACACTACTGTTTCAGGTCAGGGTGAAGGTTGGCGCCTATTTAAACGTTTAAACTCGCTGCATTTGTATGTATCTGTCCTAATCAAGAGCGTGTTCTTCAGTGATTGTCGTTTGTTGGTTTGGGTCATAGATGTTTCTCGTTTTTCATATTGATTAGACCGTTGGTTTTCCTGTTTGAATTGTTTTACACTAGTCATTTTGAGGCCCTTTATGGCTGGCTGTTCAGTGTGAGCCAAGGCTCCGTGCCAAGGCTTTTAGTAAAAAAATCAGTTAAACTAAATTAAAAAATAAAAAAAAACAAAATCTAATTTCTTAATATGTTCATATTTTGATATTGATAGATTAAATTATGAAAGCGAAAATTAAAAAAGAACTACACATTTAAAAGACAAAAAACTAGGTGTTTTCTAGAAAAAATGAAAACACCTTGGCACATGAAAGTTCAAGGAACATAAAACCATAATACATCTATATGTCGTACTCCACGAAAGACATGTGTCAATTCAGTATGTCGAGCTTTAAGAGGAGGGTAAGAGTTTTATTTGTTATTTGAACCTAAATATCTATTCCAATATTTCAAGATAAACCCTTGAAATTGAACGAGTTTCGCCAATCGTTTCGATTACACCCCAAAATAGGCCTTTAAAATTTAAAATGTTTAGACGAAACAAAATTTAAACACGAAACTTGAAAATCACATTTTTCGAGATTTGTAATCTTTCATAACATGAAGATCTGTCTCCGCGCATTATATAAATGCGCATGCTTAAGAGGTATTGTGTTCAAATTCCGTAAAATTGCAGTTGTTGATCATACAGCATAGTCAGGCATAATGCAGATGTTTGGTACGCATCATTAATTAATGGATTAGTAGTTATAGAACGAACAGCTGCAAAAATCGCCTTCATTTTTCAGATTAATTCCACGTCAGTCAGGCAATCAACCTACAAAACATTGAAAACAGTTATATATAGCTAATTTAAAACAGGGAACATAGACATGATAGATATACATATTTCATACATGTTATTTGGATCAGTATATTTGTATGTATAATGGGGAGATCTGTTTGATTTGCAATCTCCTCTGGATTTTGCAAAATATTGATATTTACGAAATAAAACAAAACAAAAAAGATGAGCGGAAGACTTGAGAATCCCCTAGAGTGTCAATGAAAATGTGTTTTAAATGTTGGTAAACTTACATGATACAGACTTTTTTGTTTAAAATTTTCACTCCTAACTGTGTTATGTTTTCTTTGGTAATAAAAAATCAGCTGTATATGATAGAATATAGGCAAATACCGGATATACTACAGTGATTAAATGATGAAAAATTGATCGTTAACGCACATTTCCCAACATTACATGACTATTAGAATTTATAAGTCAACGCAACAGAAACCTAACAGAACAAAAAGTGCATAATTTTGCCGATAGGCGTTGTATTTCCAATCTAAACAGGGAAATCATATACCATTTACAATGTGTACAACAAATCTTCGTTCATTTTTTATAAATGTGGGTTTTATTTCTGCGATACAATTTGTCTCAGCATGATGTAAACAATCATTAAATGAAAGATTTTGGTTACGTCCTGATCGATCATGAACCATTTGTCGGCGTAAGCTAAAGGTGATGCGTCAATTGATCGTTGTTTGCTTATAGTACATAGGTAAATATTTCGTGCATAAATATAACGAGAAAAAATTGAACATTTAATCAACTTGAAATAGTCTGTAAAGTATAAGCCTGTTTTTGGGTTGCTGTCTATCATAATAATTGTTTTTGCGCCGCTTTTAAGGTTTTCCTTTGTTAATTGTTTTAACATTTTTCGTGGCAATAGGTCATCCCTCAAAGAGATATTGCAATTTTTTTTCAAGTGCAGAGATTGAACTACCAATGAACTGATTATCACATGTGTGTCCTAATGCAGGACAGGAGTGAAGTGACCATAATTCTATAACCAAGTAAACTATTTTACCACCACTGAAACATTTATGCATTTTTTTTTTAAGTTTTCAAAATATACAAGAAAATTAAAGTTGTTACAAGATTATACTTTAAAAGTTGCTGAAAGTATGATATTTTTTCAACATGAGGAGCGTCAATAAATCCAATCTAACTTGACGTGCAGATGCGGATCCAGGATTTTGAAAAAAGGGGTAGGCTGCGGGCCCTCAAATTAGACAAAGTTTGGAATGGAACAGGAAAAACAGTCTAGATTAACCATAAATTTAGCTCCATAAGGGGGGTCGGGCACCATCCCTCCCCTAAAACTGCTTCTGACGTGACTAAATATTTGAATATATACAGATTAGATAACAAAAGTCGCTTCAAACTATTATTTTTTTTAGATGACAAATGTTTATATTTACCTGTCAACAACTGAACGATCATGATTTTTGAATAACGTACAGGATACACAATAATTTGGTAATAAAAAACGGTCTCTTCTGTTGTCGAAAGTATTTCTTGTAAGAGTCATTTACTTATTTAGACAAAAAAATACAAGAACATCAGAGTAATAACGTTTTATTGCTTTTTTATTTATTTGGCAGTCAAAATAAAGGCCCTCTTCAATGTACAATAGTGATTTCAAACCTTCCAGTAAAAAATATACAGTCACTCTACAGTTATCTTTAAAAGTTTATAAAATTGAATGTTTTAAAATGTTTCCTCAATTGCCGACACATTTTTTATATGTGTCACTTAGATTAATAAAAATAAAGTTCTGAGCAATAACCAGTATATCAAAGGAATAACGCTGTTATTGTTGTTCTTTATCTTGACAAATAACGCCTAGAGAGAAGCATTTCATGTATATTCCGGACGAAAACAAATTAACAATTATAATGAAGTAGGTATATGTAGGTTCTGTGAGTCCCGGCAAACAAAAGGAGGGACATTTACACGACCACTGGCAACAGAAGATATGTTGTACACGGGCTGAAACTTTACTCTGCAGCAGGTCATCTACGGTCTCCTCGAAGAGTTTTTAGCAAGGTTCTATATCGGACTAAGAGCGTGACACTTTCTCTACTCGAGGCATCCGATTGACGAATTCATTTCTAACATACGTAGTTGCGCATTTATAAATACATCCCTCACAGTCAAACATCATATATATCTTTAAAATGGGTTTTAGATCGAGTCAGTTAGGCTAATAAAAAAGAAGTTGATAAATTACCAGTATATCAAAGCAATAATTGCTTGCTGTCTTTCTATCTTGGCATTTAACTCTAGTGGCAAGTTTTTCGTGCATATTCACAACGAAATCAACTTAAATATTAAATACAATAGGTAGATTCTACAAAGTGGGTTGACATTGATACTCAATTAAGCAATAACGAAAAATGAATTTCTACAATAAAAAAGCCCTCTGTCCGAAAATAAGTACGTATATCAATCCAATATGAATAAATATACAACCACAAAGAAGCCTTGACAATGGAAAACATATATTTTCTCAATGTATAGAGAATATCATTATAAAATCTTAAAGTCAACATATAAATACTGTCAAAAACAATAGGCAAATGTACATACACTATGGCAAATCTTGATTGCCTAGAATATGATGAGTTGTTTTGATACCATGTTCCAATGACTATCAAAAATCTGCCACTAAACCAAATCCCCTACAGGTCATCCGCAGTAAGATATAACTAAAGACAATAGTTACCGCTTACGATAAACCAAACAGTAAACAACGTATCGCAGTAAAATGTGTGTTAATTTTTTTATTCAAGTTTTTTTATATATAGTCTTACGTAAAGGAATGAAATTAAGAATTAAAAAAAACAGTCTATTTTTATAACAGATTATAAACATAAAAATAAGTAATGACTGTTGCAGTTCTTATACTTTCAAATATCCGCTTTGAGCGTTCCTGATGAAGGTAAATCCAGAAAAGCACTTCAGACGCATGGAATTTATAACGTAATGTTTTCATTTTTTGACAGTTTGAAAATATATATTGTGACAAAAGAACTGATAGCTTGGGAATATTATTGACCAACAGCGATTATGTAACAAAGGCGGGTTCAGAAACAGTACAACACGTACAACATTGTTTCATGAAGAGGAATAAGGATATTCAAGCTTGGTAAGTTGACATGAAAGCTGATCTTTAATTCTAACATGTAAATTGATTTTTTATTTGTTTCATTTTAATCGCCATCTGTCCCACGTATCAACTTTCAATCGTTATAGATAAATGTAAAAAAATATTAACGTCAATTTTCTGATTCTTTAGATTGACATAAAACGTAAGTTGGTCAAATTGAAGACTTTTATTGATTTCATAACTATTTATATAGAATATTTAGAATTGATGATCCCAGCTTAATCATGGCTTTATTTATTCTGTTATCGTCTTGTTATTTTTCAAATGTCTTCCCAGGACTATTCAAATTCCTGTCATTTGGTCTCTGGTGGAGAGTTGTCTCATTGGCAATCATAAGACATCTGCTTATTTTTATATATATATTAATATTTTTTGAAATACTTAAAAAATATCAAAGGGACTTAGGAATATTTGATGTACTTCCCTTTTCCGTAAAGCCACTTTGTTCGGAGATATAATTTAGATGCATAAGATTATAGCGATACCGCCAAAATGTAAAGGGCATCATATTTCAGGACTCACAGCTATTCTGTAAAGAGAACATTTAATGAATATAAACATTGGTTTACCAAGTTTCAAGTTTGAAATTTTATTTTAATTCAAACCCCATGCACAAAGGCCTCCAGGGTATGTTAATAAATAAGTGCATGAAGATATCAGCATTTTTTAACACAGTAAGGAAAGTTGATAAACAAGTGATGGAATGTGAATAAACATATAATATATTCATGATTAAATAAAAAATTGAAATTATTATGTTTATTTAATACTGATTGCACAATTTTGAAAATGCTTGCCAACTTACAGATGACAGATCGATCATAGCTGTTACTCAATGTATAAAACTTATCTATACATTTGCATTTGGTCTGTATATATATTGGAGGCAACCATCTTTCCTCTCAGATGCCCTAAAAAAAATCACATTCATAAGGTAATGAAATTCATCCCAAATTTGTTCTAAATTACACAGGTCACATATCCTGTCATCACGTGTCCTCCCCAAAATTATCCACTACCAACCAACGTTACGTTTATAACTTCAATTGTATTCCAGCATGAAATTAATATTCAACAGACCAAATTCATAAGATAAAACAGTCATGAGCCTTCGTTTTGAATTTGAAAGTACAAGCCTTTAAAATTCAAGGACTAGCACAGAATCATCACGCGCCTCTGTTTGTTATCTAACACTCGATGATAACATTCTTTTATAGTTTATTTCGCGAAATGAAATGAGGACCACATCTTACACAGTATATCCCCTTACAAAAATATTGGCATTTAATTTTCTGCTGTAAGAATCTTTTTTTCAAATTGATTATTGCTTGTTTTATTAATATTATTTTTTTTTTCTTTACCGTTTTCTTCAAAATAATCGTTTAATTAATAATCATATTTAATTCAAAATGTACATAACTTGCTATATAAAAATATCTTTTGATCGCATTGATAATAACCTGATCAAATATTGTGCACTACTGATCATTTCTTTCGCTATGATACGTAAAAAATCATACCGTGGTTATACAATTCTCCTGTCACTCCTGGCAATTGTTGTTGTGTTCCAACTACTAAAAAACCTAACTGAGTTCATTTTATTTATTTTGTCAGATTAACTAATAAACAGTTTCATTCCATTTATAACAGGCCCAACTTACAATAAACATGTTATTTCGTTTATGCATCTCGGTTTTTATTGTGAATGATTATTTTGTAGTTCAACTAGACACTTTTTCAGTTAATTGCAATGGGCTTCCAATTGGTTTGATTGCTTGTCGCTTATAACATACAATAATCGTGTAGTTACACGTAACGTAACGGTGTATGGTGAAGGTAAAATTGTGTTACATAATTACTGTCCATTGATATTAACTCCACGTACAGTACAATTTGGAATTCAGTAGGATCCAGAATCCTCGTAGTGCAATTTGTACTATTCGGATGCTGCATCCTACTGAATTCCAATTTGTACTTTAACATATATTTGTATTATGTTTAAAATTATAAATTTTCCGGCTGTTTCAGCTTTTAAATGGAACGCATAATACAGATACTTGCATGTTTGGTATTCATTGTTTACGTTGGAAATGATTCTTCCTCTTGCTTCTCATCACAGATGCAATCAGCATTAAATAGTGCACATACATATGCACAACGTCTGAACAAATATCTAGACAAATGTGACAGTGACAATGATTTAAAGAAACCAATGAAATTACTTGGACGACATACAGAGCAAGTAATAAAGGATATTGACCTGATTAATGTCATTTACCACAGTAAGTGTTGCTTAATGATGCGAATTGCAAGCAATATTATTTTGTGTATTTTTAATTGATGAAATAATAGTATATTGAAAGCTATACACGGTATCACAAATGCTGTAAAAAAAATTCAGTAGTCTTCTCCCAATAACTTTACTCTTAATTAACATCTCGAATTCATGTTAACTTAATGTAACAACTAATAAAAAAATATTCTTCCATGTCCCTACGAATACACATAACTGACCTCTGTGTTAAAAGTATAATGCAAAGAGCAATTAAGTAAAAGCAAATTAATATAATCATTATTTCAGAAAGACAATGGACGAGATTTAACAGCCACTGCTATTACTTTTCAACTAGTGCCACTTTCTGGCAAAGTGCTAAGGTAAATAGATGGTTTCTTTCGCTGAAAGATTTAATTTAATTGTGTGAAATAATTCGTTTACTTTCACTATCGTGACTTTACCAGACTTTTCCCGGACGCTCAATTGAGACTTTAAACCAAAGATTTGGGCCTTGACATGTAAAACTAATTGATTAAGCTTGTCACATATCAACAATAACTAGTCCTGTTGCATTTAAAACAACTGCATCAATCCTTTCCAAGTGACGATCTGCCAATTTGGCAACTGTGTGAAATACACATATGTTCGTTCATACAATAACAAAAGTACAGTGAAATCGACAATACTAAAAGATAATCGAACCAACGCCAACTATTGATATTCTGCGTCTATATAATAAAAAGTATAACTCATCGCAGTATTTGAATATCACCAAAAGACAACTTGATACCTCTATTTTTTAGTCAGCGTAGGTACATGTATCTGTGTCGATATCAGTGTTCGTGTACACGACTTTTTGAAAATGTCTACAAGAAGACCAACGGTAATCGAAGGCCGCTATTGATAAAACGCGTATAACTATTTGAGGACTGAAACGAAGTAAAAGACAAGGGTATATTGTCTTATACTTTGTTGACTTAAATTGATAGTAATTTTTATATCGTGTAAAAAAAAATGTTCTCTGTTGTGATTTTGTAAAGACATGATAAGATTCGATATACTGTACTTGCATTTATAATTTATAGGCACATTGTGAAAGATATCAATCTAGTTTGGTGAAAATTGACGATCGAGAAGAGGAAAAATGGCTTCAACGTAGTATTGAAAACCAACGGCAAGTACACAGAACTGTAGGTAAAATTATTAATATAACCGTCGATTAACCTAATAAATACGCAGATGTACACAGTTCTATTGACAAAGACCACGTGTTTACCAAAACAACATGTAATCGTGGCATTAAACTTAGACGAATTCGATTACATCGAGAGATCGCATATACATTTTAGAAAGATTATAAACCAGATCAACGATGAAAATAGGGACCCCTACATTTTGCAACAGTACCGATAGACGTGTTTGAAGGTCTAAATGAACTTAAATTGATAACGAAGTTGTAAAATCCTCACATGAATGAACGCAACAGATAACACCTGGAGTAAGATTATTCTTTTTAGAGATATGATGAAATGAATGTGATTTACTGTAAAAGTTATATTTAATATTCAAGTAATGTTACAGTGCAAAGCATATTAAACATAAGTGTAGAACAAGAGAGTTTACGAGAGAATGATTCACTGTAAACAAAAGTGGTCTGTCGAGAGGCCCGATAAAGTTCTAAGGGTACACAACAGAATAAAACAGATTAAACTTTTGCCGTGACGTTCGCCTATTCATTTACCTTCATACATCTGTCGCTGAAATGGACTCTCCAATTTATATGCAATTATTTCCTTAATTGCATTAAATTTGAATTGGCTTATTTACTGATTTATGTTTCCTAATTGGTTTAACTAAAAAATTTACATTTAACTTTAAATTGTATTTTACATGCCTTCACTGGGAATCGATTCCTCCTTTACATCCCAGCTCCTTTGTTCTACCAGGGGTGAACTGAGCCGGATCATCCCTACCAGATCACCCCAGCTTGAGTTTCTTTGTTTTGCATGCTTTCCTTTGTTTTGAAACATTTTGGCGGGAATGCCTAATCCACAATAAAACTTAGAAATATTTATTGAGAAAAGACACACTTTCGAAATTTATGTAGTAAAAATCCATTGTCTATGCTGGGATTCGAACTCAAGATCTTTAGCATATCAACCCACGACACATACCCCTACACCAGGACGACTGTATACCAACACCTAGTAATTTAACATTTTTAAAGGAAGCAATATATTTTCATGAGTGGGGCCAGGTGGAAGACCTTTATTCAGTGGGATTTTAACCCTTTTCATAAATAAGGCGAGTTGTCAGACTGATTGTTAAATGAGCTTTTATCCTTTTTCATAAGTGGGGCGAGTCGGTAAACAAGAGTGGGGCGATTTTTTAGAAAGTGACGAACAAGTGTGGGCCGATTGGCCAGTAGGGTGAGTTGACATGGTTTCATGATTAGACATCGTGTTCGGGGGTCATACAGGGTATATATTATATAGAAATATATAAAGTATATTATAATGGTTGTGTGGCGTTCTAAACTAGATTTTATGAATTGTAAATGGTTTTTCGTCTAATCTCTAACAGCTGGGATGTAATATAGTTATCCCATTCGGACTTGGTGTGTCAGTGTTAGATCACCCTCTGGCCTCAGTCATACTCACAATCAGGAAACATATACAATTCATACCTTTTCTTTGTACTGTTGTGTCACCTAATGTCTATAACGCATTTAAAAAAAAATATTTCCCAATAATAAGAAAGTCCTTACATCACTAAAACTAATCCATAAATGAAATGCCGAAAATTGAAGTCATCCATCAATTGTAAACATTGCAATGACAATGAAACTAATTCTTGAATACAACCAATCAAGAGATCGTTTGAGCCTTGAGCACTTTACAATATTCTAAGTTTGTAAGAGAATGATAATCCCTTACTTCATGATAAGTACTCGCTAACGCTCGTACTTAATCATGAAGAAAGGGATTATCATTCTCTTACATATACTAAGCCCACAGACAAACATAAATATCTTTATCGATATCCTTTGAGTTGTCATCCTAAACATTGCACCAAGAGCATTGATTTCCCTATAGCAAGGCCATACGAATAAAACGGATTTGCTCCAACAATGATACTGCAAAAGGCGACTACAATAAGTTCGCGGTCACCTTAGAAATTGTAATTTGTCCAAAAAGTGCTTGTACAAGTCACATTTTGTATATATATTTACTGAAATTCACTTATCACTTGTACAATAATTCTTTATATGGATTTGGATAAACAAGCATTGATGCACAGTTTAGAATTTTTATTTAATAACCACAAAATAAACCTTTAAGTTATTTACAGAATACAAAAATTAATTCTCTTTATCATTTATTTGAGCATGGAAAACATCTTAAGCTTTTCACATTTACATTTAGAAGTGATGCACCCCCTTAGCATTTAAACGAAAGAAATCCATGACCACCAGGTTAGCTTTTTAACTGCTTCATGTAGAGAAAGTTGAGGCTCAGAAACTGCTGTGCGATTAAAATTCGTGTCTTTAACAGTTTCAATATGATTTCTAGACAAATATCCTGTTAAAATTCCTACAGCTGTTCCAATGTGGTACCTAAAATACCCAGATTTAACAATTATGTCAGTTGGGAGATCATCATATTGAGTAAAAGGTATAATGACATTATCTCCCACAGCAAGTTCTGATCATTTCCGTTTTGTTTTTTTCTTTTCTTGGTAAGATATTCGACTAGAGACAGCGCACATGGACAACGTATTAAAACAATTGACCCCAAAATAATGAACAGTTGAAAAGTGTTCAAGAAGAGTTGAATACAAATATATTTTTTTCAAGACAATTCAGATTTATTAATGTTAAAAATATATAAAAGGCCATTTATATTATGCTAATTTATCATATATCTTTTGTACACATTACAAGTCAATTCTAGTCAAATTATACAAATTACAATTTGTACAAAGTTAACATACAATTTATAATTTGTAAAATAAAGAAAATGATAACTTGTACACAACATATATATATATATATATATGTAAACAAATCTAAATTGAAAACAACGTTCAAACCTATGATTGCGTTGGATAAAAACCGCAATTTTTATACGTGTGCATGCAAAACAAATTTCTTGGTAGAGGGGTCTAAATACAGCACAAACAACATTTTCCAAAAGACCAAAAAAAGTGAAAAAGTATATTTCAACAAAACGCATTTGACTAGCAGGTCGAACAACTGATGTTCTTAAACCCTACTGACTGCCATTGGCGATTGCCAATTAAACGGATCACCAGATGTAACAAAATGGATCTTATTATTGATTTATTACCAAACAGAAAACAATAAATTTGCGGAAAAGATGGTATACCGCAAACATGAGGTGCAAACATTTGTACACCATATCCGATTTCGACAATTAATGTCTCTTCAGTGATGTAAGGAATCGAAACGGTATTTGGAAGGCCATATAATTTATCTCAATTTAGGATAGACTCTTGAATTTTGAAAGAGTCAAAATAGGATGAACGGATCATATAAACCCGAAGGCAAATATAATACAAGCCCAAACGAAATAATAAACAAATCTAAATTGAAAACAACGTTCAAACCTATGATTGCGTTGGATAAAAACTGCAATTTTTATACGTGTGCATGCAAAACAAATTTCTTGGTAGAGGGGTCTAAATACAGCACAAACAACATTTTCCAAAAGACCAAAACAGTGAAAAAGTATATTTTAACAAAACGCATTTGACTAGCAGGTCGAACAACTGATGTTCTTAAACCCTACTGACTGCCATTGGCGATTGCCAAATAAACGGATCACCAGATGTAACAAAATGGATCTTATTATTGATTTATTACCAAACAGAAAACAATAAATTTGCGGAAAAGATGGTATACCGCAAACATGAGGTGCAAAAATTTGCACACCATATCCGGATTTCGACAATTAATGTCTCTTCAGTGATGTAAGGAATCGAAACGGTATTTGGAAGGCCATATAATTTACCTCAATTTAGGATAGACTCCTGAATTTTGAAAGAGTCAAAATAGGATGAACGGATCATATAAACCCGAAGGCAAATATAATACAAGCCCAAACGAACAAATATAAACAAATCTAAATTGAAAACAACGTTCAAACCTATGATTGCGTTGGATAAAAACCGCAATTTTTATACGTGTGCATGCAAAACAAATTTCTTGGTAGAGGGGTCTAAATACAGCACAAACAACATTTTCCAAAAGACCAAAAAAGTGAAAAAGTATATTTTAACAAAACGCATTTGACTAGCAGGTCGAACAACTGATGTTCTTAAACCCTACTGACTGCCATTGGCGATTGCCAAATAAACAGATCACCAGATGTAACAAAATGGGTCTTATTATTGATTTATTACCAAACAGAAAACAATAAATTTGCGGAAAAGATGGTATACCGCAAACATGAGGTGCAAAAAGGTGTACACCATATCCGGATTTCGACAATTAATGTCTCTTCAGTTATGTTAGGAATCGAAACGGTATTTGGAAGGCCATATAATTTATCTCAATTTAGGATAGACTCTTGAATTTTGAAAGAGTCAAAATAGGATGAACGGATCATATAAACCCGAAGGCAAATATAATACAAGCCCAAACGAAATAATAAACAAATCTAAATTGAAAACAACGTTCAAACCTATGATTGCGTTGGATAAAAACTGCAATTTTTATACGTGTGCATGCAAAACAAATTTCTTGGTAGAGGGGTCTAAATACAGCACAAACAACATTTTCCAAAAGACCAAAACAGTGAAAAAGTATATTTTAACAAAACGCATTTGACTAGCAGGTCGAACAACTGATGTTCTTAAACCCTACTGACTGCCATTGGCGATTGCCAAATAAACGGATCACCAGATGTAACAAAATGGATCTTATTATTGATTTATTACCAAACAGAAAACAATAAATTTGCGGAAAAGATGGTATACCGCAAACATGAGGTGCAAAAATTTGCACACCATATCCGGATTTCGACAATTAATGTCTCTTCAGTGATGTAAGGAATCGAAACGGTATTTGGAAGGCCATATAATTTACCTCAATTTAGGATAGACTCCTGAATTTTGAAAGAGTCAAAATAGGATGAACGGATCATATAAACCCGAAGGCAAATATAATACAAGCCCAAACGAAAAAATATAAACAAATCTAAATTGAAAACAACGTTCAAACCTATGATTGCGTTGGATAAAAACCGCAATTTTTATACATATATATATATATCATCTTTTTACATTTTACTAAAAGTACTTGTATTTTTTGTTTACCACATTCAACAGTTATTGGATTGACCTAAGAGCCAAGATTGGTAAGTTTACCTGGACTCAGGATAACACCGAGCCAAAATTCATGCGCTTCGAAACAGGATATCCAAAATCTCCGGGTGAGTAAAAAAATAGGCTAATTGCTACTGTCTTCTTTTCTTTTAGGGCTCTGGATTGCTAAAATAAAACTAGTCTGACCAATTAAACTAGTTGTTCAGCTTTTCATGGCTCTCAATCAAAACTATCAGCTACAAACTCAATGACATACATTTTTAATGGATATTTTAAATAACTTTATTTAAAAATGTCCATTCATAGACTTTCTCTTATAGCATTGTTTTTTTAGAGGGACTTCTTTTTAAGCTGCAGATATTCACATACTTCGCAACTTTGAATCTTGCAATAGGTCGATAAAATTGTATATATTTACATGTATAATACTTATTATACAAGTGTGAAGTTCATCTATTTGGAGGGTTAACCATTAAAAGTCATACATTGTTATATCCATTGTGTAAGCAGTGTAATCATTTTCTTCCATATGTATTTATAAGGATATAGTTATATCTTTCATCATGTACCTAATATTTAAAATTGAGTCGTGAGATGAGTTGCGCGAATAATTACACCATAAATTCAATGGAATCATTTAAAGGTCATATATATAAAACAGATTTCTTGCAATTATAATGTAAAGGACATCATTAAATCAATGCATGTATATATACTTAGCTAAGTCCTCTTTACACAGTTGTTTACATTTAATACGAATCTGTAACGTAAAATCTACAAACATATTTCGATCAGTAAACATTCTTCCTGCTTATTCTCTTTCGGCTTTTGTTGCCGAAGTTTATTGATCGTCACCTTTATAATCGATCCTCTCAGAATCATGGAGCACGTGAAAATAAGTCAGCTAGTAGATCGATGTTAATTTTGTTTTGCATTTCCATGCGATTCCATTTGCTTATCAAAATTTGTCATAACAGTTGTTAAACGATTTGGTGTATTCAATATTTCTTTTAGAATCATATAACACTATCTACCTTCCAATGCACGTTTGTTTACCTCTCTTTCATCACGGTTTTCCCTTACTCTTGTGCTGGGCGGTTGTTGGGGAGTCTCGTGGTATAGGTCACTACATACAGAAAAACTGTACGTCAGACCATAATTCAATAGCAGTACATTTTTGGAGATTTTGGTACTTAAGATAAAGGATTTCGTTCTTATACAAGAAAGTTCGTGTTGACTTGTTTATAGTAAAACGTAATCATTCAAGTATATAAATTATGTTCAACTTTTTTTTTTAAATTTGAAGTTCCATATGACCTTAACAAAATATACATTGAAAGGTTGCCATACATAGGACTTAATGTCTAATAATACAATAAAAGGAAAACGTGAAGCCCAATCAATGTTTTATCGGTACAATTGTAAAAGATACTTTCAAAAACATCATTTATGACTAATTCTCTAAGACAATCCAAAGATATTCCTTAGTCAAAATATGCCAAGCGATTGTAGCTCTGAGTTTTTGTGTGTTTGTTTTGTGTCAGTGTCTGTGTTTTGTTTTTTTGCTTGTGTGTATTTTTTAAAGATAATTCGATTATATTTATTGTTAAACGATGATTTACCTACTTTCATTTCAACCTGACGCTATGCATGATCATTGTTCAAAGCGTGATAAATCATGCGATGAAATTTCAATGTATTTAAAAGAATAATGATTAAAGGGGCATTTACCGTCACATTCATGTTCACCGTTTTGATGAGGCAGGATGAGCAACTTGGCCCAAAAAAAAGGCAGGATGACAATTTATGTAAAAAAAAGTCAGGATAAACTAATAAAAAAAGGCAGGAACGAATAGAGTAAACATAAAAAGGCAGGACAGAGATTACAACTAAAAAAAAATGCAGAACAAAATTTTTCATCCTTGACCCCCCATAAAAATCAAATGGTAGCTCCCTAATGATATTCTTTTTCTTTAAATGACTGAATACGACTTATACATCCGTAACCAATCTCTAGCTAATATGGTTAAATTGAAGGTCACGTGAATACAGATTCAATGAGGTCGAATTGTTCACTTGTAGGTGAATAATTCACAAGCGATGTTTCTTAGCTTATTTTGACAAAATTGAAATTAACTGGATGCTAAAAGCAAATTAATATTTCACTGTTTCACTTTCATTAATGATTTAAACCAAAAAAAAAAATCATATTTTATTTTGTTTATATCTCTTAGCTAATGCCCCTTTCAGGATAAACTAAAAAAAACTTGTATAATAAAGAACATCTTATACAAACTGTTAATATAATAACAAGAGACGTGGGGTATATATTGAGATGCCAGAAATCAATCGGCACAAAGAAATCAAAAGACATCAAGAGGTCAATGTAAGATCTTGAACAATAGACATATGTCTGAAAAACTTGAACAGTCCTAAATCCCTCATGTCTTTAAAAGGTGCGAAAAAATAATAGAAACCTTACTATCAGGTTAACATTTTATTCAGACAATTATAAAATCACTGATACATGAATATAATGAAATACAACCAGTGACAAGGGTAAAGGCAAATTCGTACAAAGACAAACGCTATGTGGCAATGTATATAATTCAAGACATCCATTGACAACGAACAAGGCATGGACGTTGAAAAAGAACATGAGAGGGGTAAATAGTCTGCACCCATCTTCAAATCGAGCCCGGTTGAAAGTGTCCGAGCGCTCCCGTATTTTTAAATATTTTCGTCCATATTCACTCGTGCGCTCGGAACATTGGCCTGTGTACACAAAAAAAAATGTATATGTCGTATACTGGTATATTCCGAATGTAACAACGGGTACAACATTGGAAAGACGTCATTAGAAATACTATCAGTAAAGCAGAACTTTAAAAAACAGAAGCGTTCAGAAATTTGTTTTTTAAAAGTGTTTATAGAAAAGACGAAATATTTGGAAGTACCTGTACTTAACCTACCTATGCATTAATTGAATTTTGTTTCCTTTTACGTACAGTGGCTAATATGTCATGCATAATCAGGACAGACTACCAATATATAAATAAGGTAGTCTAGCAATTGGATGATGGGCGCGAAAATTGGAGTGTCACTGGACAATGAGGGTATATTGAACAGGAACATAAAACGCTACTGGACAATGCAGGTATATTGAACAGGAACATGAAACTAGTATTGGAACATGCAATCTACTGGCCCATCAAGGTTTTTAACGTGCAGAGAGCCTTGTTCTCTCAACATGAGGCATTGCATTTAACATTCTCATTCTAACAGGACAGGTGGCTGTACATTTAAACATACACAGCCAAACCCTAAACACGACATAAAAACCAGACAAGTATTTGCATATGTTACAACTATAACTTCTCGTATAAGCATAATGTGCTGCAATGTAAAATTATCTGCTGATAGGTCTTATGAATAGAGTACATTTTTTACATTTAAAATATTTTTTTCCAGATACTGATTCGTATTGTGTTTTTTTAACTCCACATAAAAAATGGCACAATGGAGTTTGTAACAAGAGCAGGCAGTTTGTTTGTGAAAGCAATTTATGTAAGTTTGTCTGTTATGTCTGCTTTTTAAAAAGACAAGAGTGAATATTGTTTTATCAGTCAGTTTTATTTCAATTCAACATATTTTGATCATATTAAATGCCATTGACCGGGTTTGTTTTTATACTGAACAACACTCTTTGTACATTGTAATTCGTTTTAAAAAAAGGACATGTGCATGGAATGATTTCCAGACAACTATTATTCCAAATTTTGATGTAAGCAAATTATGTGACTACCGTATGGCCTTTTACAATGAGCAAAACTCGGACCGTATAGTCAGCTAAAAATGCCTCGACATAGAAAAAAATGTCAAAAACGATCAAGAAAACAAACAGACTGATTTATGACAAAACAATAAATGATGAACAGATATGAAAAGACAGCAACAAACGACAATCACTGAATTTCTGGTTCCTTGCTAGGGACAAGTACATGAAATGTGTAGCGGGGTTAACATGTTTGTGAGCGCTCAATCCTTATCTAACCTGTAAGAATAAACTGTAAAATTCGGTTAGAAATGGCTTGACTCATCATGTTGAAACGAAACACATAAAAAAGTAACATAAGGACAGACAACTCAAAGTATCGATCTTTGAGTACTCACAGTTACTGAAAGCTAGTTCAAGGCATATTACAACTAATAATTAATTTTATTGCACCAAGACTAAAATATCAGTCAGACTGAGTACACTAATAAATGAGTTTATGTATTTAGAGCTAAGGGCATACGATACAGTTTTGATCCCACGGTGATGTTTTTACGAAAATGTGCATACAAGCTATTTTTCACCTAGTCAATTCAAATATGTATTTAAAAATATACCTTCATGTGCTTCTTTTTGAGATAAATGGGGTCGACGTTTTACTCAAAATTTCGGTTTCTTGGACATTTCAATCCGTTGAACGTGTTGAACAGACATACCTAACTGTTTTGTTTTAATGATAATCACAAGCGGATTTTTGTAAAACCATATGGAATATCGTCTTTACATATATAATCTAAGTTTATGTAACAAATCTTTGGAAATAATTTATTTTTATCATTATTTCATGATTTTAGAAAAAACAAACGGCATTGTTTGCAGTATATTTATTCAATTAAAAAAAAAATCATCTGTGATTTCTTAATAAAAATTGGTACAAATAACCGTGATACATAATCAAGCCAAATATCATTTTAAAAAAAGAGGGGGTTATGTACTCATCTTTAAGCTAACGATTAAAATCAGTTGAACAATGCGTCTTTCCCGATATTTTACGGTTTGACAACGCGAGAAATAACATTTGACGTTAGCGACGTCATTACCTCCCCTGTAGTCGTGCACCATCAGAGAAATCATTAATAGTGTTGGTTTTTTTTTTTTGTGCAATAAATATTCTTATTTCTATATCTTTTATATCATTTGTTGTTATTGATTTCTAATATTTAGCCTGATCTCTACAATGATTTTTGTTTGTAGGTTACTGATAACATGTGATGAGAAGCATTCTGATGAGTAATAGAAATAAAATTGCATGCAACATCATAACGATTCTTTTCAATAATTACCAGTACTTGGAGTGTATCAGCAATGAGATTATTTGGCCATTTTGATATTTTGTTTTTTGACAATCACGGGGACTATCTTAAACTTGCAGAAAGTTGTGACTTTATGCTGCGTTCACACGTAATTCGAATTCGATTCGCATTAACTAATTCGAATTAGTTTAATTCGCATTCGAAACGTTTAACGTCCAAACGTAAATTCTAATTCGAATTGCAATGCGCGTCAAATTCGCTTTACTGTCCTAAAGACGTTAACTTTTAATTCGTATTAACAAAAACGCATTTCTAATGCGAATTGGATAATGCGATTTAGCCAATTTGAATCAATTCGAATTAAAAAAGAAGAGTGTGTGAACGCGATTAGCGAATTCGATTCGCATTCGATTCGAATTCAATTCGAATTAAATGTACGTGTGAACGAGGCATTAATTTTTCTTTTTCGCTGTGACGTTGAGGAGAACGACTGAAAAGTCATAGTTCCTTAAGATAAAAAATCTTGAATCACCAGAGGCAACAAAGTATACGAATAAAACAACACACCACATGAGAACAGCAAAATATTAATGAAAAGGTGTATGATACAACTGATCTGTAAATTTACAGGACCATTAACATTTGCCGATGTTAAATATGCTTGGTAGTAGTCAACATCCCCATCCTAACACACACATAACATCCCAATACTATGAGACATACACGTACGCATGCATTTATCTGCAAATCAAGTTAAAATTTTAACCAATAAAATGGTTTGTTTAGAATGATTTGATTGTGTTTGCTTTACGTCCTACGGCGAGTATTTCATCTATATTCAGGACAATTATTTAGAATAGTGAACCACATGATGTAGACAGACAGTGTAGTTTTTATCAAAAATTATAACACATAAAATAAGGAAATAGACATGGTTTGTACTATGTAAGCATTTCAGTTGCTTTGCATATACTTAAAAGTGTCCAAGTGAACATTTGTTTTAGTTAATCTTCCTAAAGTTTCAGTTGTGGAAATAATTTGTTTTGCAACTGCAAGTTATTTAAGAATCTGATTTTATATTATATTCAATAGTCATTGAAGTGCCAAACACTGTGTATGTGCTTTGTATCGATTTGATGAGTTAAGCCTTTTCAACCGTTTTTTTTTATTAAGATTTCATATTTGTTTTTCGTTGAAATCAGGCCATTAGTTTTCTCGTTTGAAATGTTTTACATGTGTCATTTCTAGGCCTTTAATAGCTTACTAATTATATGAGCGGTATGGGTTTTGCTCATAAACACTCAATCTAACCGAAGTCCAAGGATCTATCGTATTTGATTTATATTTTTGCACATAAATATTCGGTTGGTCTTGGAAAGACCAAATCTCGTAATAATTAGGCAAACTGGAGACAATGTTGTACAAATGTATATAGTAAAGCGAGATTTTTACAATTATTTCAGTAACTGCTTAAGATATATTTGCTCTGGTTAAGAAAAGGTTGTGAGTTTGGACATTTTAGTTAGTGGTAGTGGGTTCATTGTTGTTGTTCATTCGTCTATCAGCACTATGAATCCATTACTCCTCATTAGCATCTGCATGTATTGTTTTAGATACAGAAAAAAATCAGAACCTACAAGGCATTTTTCTATCTTCTGGTTTTTTTTACTAATAGAGTGTAAGGTTCCCCGTAGAAAAGACCGAATAAACCATAAATACATATAAACACAAAACGTACCCGGAAATATGACAAATTATTGGAAGAAATTTTGTATCCACTTTTCCTAAATCCCTTGCTCGATTCCATGTTACATTCACAAAAGTTTTATTTCATGATGCTGTTGTGCACCTACTGGTCATTTTAATTTTGAAATCCGACGTTTTTTTTTTGTTTCCCATATTTTTATATGAACAAAGTCATATCAGCAAGAGTGACATATTTGGGTTATCGTTTTGGGTCCATATAAAATCAGGAGATGTGGTATGTGTACATCAATGCTTGCTAATGAGACAGAGTTAAAACTAAGCAGATTCAAGCAAAATAATATTGGTTACCGTGCGGCTTTCAACAATGAGCAAAACTCATACCGTATAGGCAGCTGAAAAAGGCCCCGACATGACAAATGTGACACAATTTGAAAATAAACGTTCTTATTTATGACCAAACAATACTAAAAACAAATATGACAGACATCAGCCAACGATAACAGGTGGATTACAGATTCCTGACTTGAAACAGGCACATTTAGAATGTGTTGGGGTTAAACATTTTTGTGAGCGTTAGAGCCTTTCTTTAACCTAGACAGTGTATAACAGCACAACATAAGAACAAACTATGAAATCCCGATAGAAGTGGCTTGACTGATCAGATTGACAAGAAACACAAACAAAAAACAAAATAAGGACAAAAAACAAAAAGAACCGATCCATTACTTCTCCTAAACCAGTAATTTGATTTCCAGATAGGAATTTTTACTAAGTTTTTTAATACAAGTAAATACATTGTACATGTACATCGCACATTATAAGAGAAAACTTAAAGCAGTATCTTGGATTAATTCGACTTATCAAAGAGTGCAAATTGGGTCACCATTTTTTGAATGAATGTCATTCGTTATTGATGAAAATATCTGTCATGGTACAGGTAAAACATGCACAAAATATCTTAATAGCAAACGCTAATGGACTAGGACTCAGATTAATGTGTCTGTTTGTGTGGGTCGAAATGTTTATGTCTTTCAGCGTGATTTATCAAGGTCATCAAGATGTATATCCCGCTCAGCAATTTGGTCTGGTAACAAAAAAAAAAGACTTATAGTGCAATACAAACCAGTACCAGTAATACGATATCATAAAGAAGGTGTGCAATTATTGAAATTAAGTTAAAGTAGTATAATATGGAATTTTACTAAGAACTGTGCCAGTTGATACAGGCACGAATAAGACCGATACCTCTTAATTCTATATGTCTAGTAGCTTGTTTTTATGTTTGGTTTCTATCGAATAGATGTATACCCCATGTATCCCTTTATTCATACTATCGATAGCTGTACCTCAGGGTAAGGAAAAAATAATTATAAAACATCAATCATTCATTTTATGTTGATGAAGCATTGTTTTTTTGTAATTTTAATAAAAAAGACTAAACAAATGTCCTTAAAAATGCTAAGTTGATTATATATTTTTTTTCACTTCCCTTCTCACTTTTTCAATTGTCGGTGACTGACTGCATTGAGAAATTTTCTGTATAATATGCGTGCAAAATAAAAATAAAACAGAGAACGAAAATTCCTAATATACTTCCAGGCTTCAATTTTGATTTTTTTCTTGAAACGCGGTTCATTGCAATAAGGTTACTCTTCTTGAATACTGTAGTTTTTCAATTTAAAACAATTGGCATTGATAACATATCTTTAGTAGTCTCTTTTAGTTTAAGACTAAGGGTGTTAATTAACTTGACATATTATAATGAAAAAAGAGTAAGTTTTCTAACGAATGAAAACTATATCTGATCAATTACTATTTTTTTTCTTTCTTTATTAAGTTGTTGGGTTACTGACCCAACATTTTATGACGTTTTTGTTTTTTTTTCTATTTAGAGGTGTGTCCTTAACATGTTAAAAAAGCCGCTACATCAAATAAACGTTGAACATTTTTGGAAAGAAGAAAGAAACACTTTTCGCATTTTCGCACATGCAGTTCGCACTTCTAACATTTGAGTGTCTACATTTTCACTGTAAATTATGAATGCAATTTGCAATCATCGACGAAATTATTGAATCATAAGAATTATCCGGTGTTCATAGTAAGATCTTAATCAATATAATAAATAGGGATATAGATAAAATACGATTTTTAATGTTTTTCTTCGACGTGCATTGCTTTATGTATCGATGCAAAATACTATTTTAGACGATATGTTTATATATAAAAGGATCCTTTCATCAAAGAATATTAGATTTAGAAAAAAAAATCGTATATGCTTTGGCGTAAACGAGGCGTGTGTTTTTTTTTTAATTTTTAATTTTAATGTAATTTGCTCCAACATAAGTTTCAAAGAAGAAATGCGGACAGTCCTTGTATACTAGTATTGTAACAACATCACTAATGGGCAAACAGAGTACAATCACAAAACGATTAACTGTTTTTTTTTTATTAATTAGCAATGCAATAACACAGAAGTCAGCGCCTATCAATAAAAGGGTAACAGTGAAAATATTTAGAGATACATGTACAATGCGGACTTCAAAACATATCCCTCCGAAGGTATCTGGGGTATCGGTAACGGTTCTTATTCTGGGGGTAGGATCTCCTCATCAAGTGTCGTCTGTTTTGCTGATTGTGAATGTATGAATATGAGGACAGCCATCGCCTGAACAGGATGCAGACAGTAAATATGATGTCTCGATAAAGGAAAATGGCACACTCTCTTCTTCGTTGTACGCTGTTTATAGAGACACGTAGTAGGCCTATTGCAAGGCTAAATTTTGTTGCTCCTATCCAACATATATTCAGTGTTTTCCATTAATTAAAAGTCAAAATTCCCGCCCATCATCTTTGTCTATCACTAACATTGCATGGCCTACCTGCTAGACTTTTTTTGTCAAATTAATATTGATGAAATACTTGCAACTGGACGTAAAGTAAAATTTATTAATCATCAACCAAGTGATAAATCTTTAGAATAATGAATATGTTGCGATATAATAATAAAACTTATTGTGAAGTTCAATATATAAATCTTTATTCTCTCAAAACAATTGAAAAAAAGGAATCCTCATTGAAAAATATGTTTCTATTTCAAATGTGTCCATGGGTAAATTTCGGTTGATAGATTTATAGATTGTTTGTAAATGTCCAGTGGAAATCGGTGTATGTACATGCAGGACTACCTTGTCTTGTGGAAGAAGATCTTTAATACAATACAAACTTGGTATTGGCATCGGGCTGTTTGTGACGTCTTTACACTAAATTCGTTAGATGTGTACTGATTGGTACTTTAGTCTGGGAGAACATGATTTATTTTATTAGTGTAATTGGTTTTGAACTATCTTTCAGTAACTACGAGTACTCCTATATCGGTGCTTTGTGTATATTGTTTTTATTTTTTGGTTTTGTGCTTTGTACCACTCTAATGATTTAAAGCAGTTTGTTCTTTTGGTTTGCTGTTATGCCACTGTCCTAGATAAGAGGAGCGCACACAAACATGTTAACCTTGCCCCATTCTTTATGTTCTTGACTTAAGTCAAGATCCTGTTACTCACTGGTTGTCGCTGTTTTATATAAAATAAGAAAATGTGGTATGATTGCCAATGAAACAACTCTCCGCCAGAGACTAAATAACGCAAACGTTAGCAACTATAGATCACAGTAAATTAGCAAAACCTATACCGCATAGGAAGCTAAAGAAGACATCGACATGACAATGTAAAACAATCCGAACGATAAAACCAACGAAAAATCTAACGGCCTGATTTATGTACAAAACAATAAAACGAAATACAAATATGACATACAGCAACAAACGACAACCACTTACTTGAGGCAAGCACATACAGGTGGTGCGGTGAAACCAATAACTTGTTACAGTATTCAGTCATATAAGTTTTGACTTGTTTCATATGTTTTCATGTCGGATCTAGGATTTTGAAAAATGAATGCTTCCTGGCAAGACCACGTTAAGAGTTTGACTAGTATATGCATTAATTGGCTTCCTTTCTGTTCTGTTATGTAATACAACATATTCCTATTACTATATCTAATATATACACGAGATCGAAGAGACAAATAAAAAAAAAGATACGGGATATTTGAACACGAGTCATCCCTTCAAATTTCTTTTGTAAAGTTTATGACTTTTAGTTATTTATCCCAAGGAATCACCAATTTGATGAAAAATTATAATTTTATGCACACTTTTAACCGTTTATGATAAATGCTTTTCTGAATTGGAGGACATTTAAAGAGCAGTCGGCACTGTGATGCGCCCTTGCAAAACTTCTTTATACACAATACTGAGTTGCTAAAGGGGGACTACAACTTTGTGCAAACCTTTTCAGGTTTCATTATGACTAAAAAAAATTGCCGACAAAAAGAAGAAAAAAAAGCAATAACGAAACATAAAAAAATGACGTTATCTTTCCCGAATTTCAATTGTTAGATTTAACGTCTTTTCCCCCACCTTTGGAGCAATATGCCAACTTTACCTGCATATGGAATATACATTTCCCAACACATTCGGTAATCAGACTTTATAAAACGTCACCAGTGTCTGAGAAGAAAGTTGATGAACCAGGGTTATGTCAAAGAACGTCTCGTATTTTTTCTTAAAAAGTTCATCGGAAGATACCAAGACCTTGTTGATAAATATTCCGTATCAACTTCACAAATTATACATGATGGTCTCTAGGTTCTGACGTTGTTTATCATTTCAATTACGTGTAATAGTTTTTTTTTTTTGTCTTTGTATATTTTTAACCTTTACTGTTTAGTCCATTTTTGGTAATATAATTTTGGTGTGGCTCGGTATTTATACATCCCGCCATTGTGTTATTGTGCTATGGTCAATTTTGTATTGTTGTCTTTCATTTTTGCTTCTGTACTTTGTCTATAGAGAGTCTATATGCCATTTTGTTTTTCTTTGTTAAAATAGTCATTTGTTCTTATAGTGATTAAGATGATCACAAATTGTTGACTGCTGTACCCCAATGTTTGACAATTTTACCTATTATGTCTGTTTGTTTTGCTCACACATTTATGTCAATATAATGGAATTCTATGCGACCGTCATACAAATGAGAGGTATAGCTAGCCATAAAACAAGGTTTAATCCACCATTTTCTACATGAGGAAATGTCTGTACCAAGACAGGAATATGACAGTTGTTTTCCATTCGATTGATGTGTTTGAGCTTTTGATTTTGCCATTTGAAAAAAGGACTTTCCGTTTTGAATGTTCCTTGGAGTTCGGTATTTTTATTATATTACTATTTATTGTAATGATAAAAGTTGTGCCTTTACCAACAATAAAATTCTGATAAAGAAGACTGCATGTCCGGTCAAAAGCTCCGGTTTATTAAAAAAAAAATGTGTTTGTCAATGTTAGAGATTTTCATTATATATACTAATTTCACACGAAAAAAACAACAATAATTAATTTCAAGTAATTTTAGAAATAAAGTTAAAAATCAGTATGAATAAAGTATCAAAGCAAAGCAACTGATCTTATACGCGTTCATAAGGTTGCTACAATGCACATAACGGTGTTATAAATGTATGAAATATGTATAAAACGTACTTGTTCAGCTGTTTCAATGAAGTCTACTTCAGTCTGGGAAAACAATATTTATTCACTATTTGCTATTGGCAGTGAACTAGCTTTGAGTAATCTGAAATTCATGCTTTGTGCCTTTGATGTTAGCGGTTTTTTGGACTTCGTTCCGATCTGTTGGTTTTTACGTTTTGTTCTTGTGTTGGTTTGTTACACCACTATCCCAGAATTGGGGGAAGTTGAACATTCACAAACATGTTTGATATTTTATAGTGTTTCTTTCTATGTTGTGATGTTACATTATTGTTTCAGGTAGGGTGAAGGTTGGCGCCTATTAAAACGTTTAAACCCGCTGCATTTGTTTGCACCTGTCCTAAGTCAGGAACCTGATATTCAGTAGTTGTCGTTTGTTGATGTGGTTCATAAGTGTTTCTAGTTATTCGTTTTTTATATAGATTAGACCGTTGGTTTTTCCCGTTTGAATGGTTTTACACTAGTCATTGTTGGAGACCTTTATAGCTTACTGTTCGGTGTGAGCCAAGGCTCCGTGTTGAAGGCCGTACTTTGACCTATAATGGATTACTTTTACAAATTGTGACTTCGATGGAGAGTTGTCTCATTAGCACTCATACCACATCTTCTTATATCTAATTATCCCCGCCACATACTATATTTGTGCCTGTCCTAAATCAGGAGTATGTAATTCCGTGATTGTCGTTGGTTGCTGTCTATATCATATTTGTTTTTCGTTCCGGTATGGGTTTTGCTTTTTATTGAATGCCGTACAGTTAGCAATAGTTGCTTGAATCCACTTCATTTGGACTCCGATGGATAGTTGTTAACGAGGTTAAAGGTATATGAAAATACTATTAGACGATAAGACAGTGCTATTAAGAAACAGGCATACATAAACTTAATAATTATTTGAAATAAGCCTAGTTAAATGTTGAAAAAAGAGCCATTAGAATCATAACAGGCATAAATCATTAGACAATATATTAAACATTGAGTAATTTGATACGTACTTCAAATATACCATGTATGCAGTGAATAAGAATATTTACTATTTAAATGTTGTTAAGTTCCTAGAAACAATAATAAAAAGGCAGTTGTACCAAATATTACAATATAAAACAAATGTGAATAAATAACTATACATTTGTACAAAATAACATAGACAATCTCTAAAAGATTAATTTATAAAAGAAATGTATCACTTTATTAAGTCTTTTGTTCTTTAATTCCTCGAAAATCAAAACAATCCATAAATTTTATCTCATTCAACTCTTTTAGACATTACAGTGGACAACTTTTCCTCTTTGTCTGTGAAATTGAAAAATACAATCAGTAACAATGATCATAATGCCGATTTTCAGAATACTGAGATTTTTTTATCATCGTTTTAAAGAAAAACACCAGAGATTTTCCCCTTGAACATTTAGAAGATAGCGGATGTAACATATTAAAATCAGATTGGCGTTTTCACTGTGTAGGGGAAATAACTCTTCAAAATTTATGGGGAAATCCTTTGTGATGATAGATCAACAGTACCAAAAATCCCTTAATTTAAATTTTAGTCAAAATATATGTTCAAATTCCAGATTGGGCAATTGTTACCAACAGTTTCAAAATATTGGATGCTTTAACTGTATTAAAGTAGCTGGATGAAACAAGGATTCAGTATACTGCGATAAAAATAATGATTTAAGGTTAAAGTATAGCAGGCTGATTTGAGGTTCTATATTATTTTGTGACAAGACCTTTGTGTAACTCTCTCTTTTGACATTTAAATAACAACTGAAAATAACACTTTAAAATTCTAAGCGCTTGACGCGCTTGTCACCAGGAACGCGTAAAAGTTAAAATTTGAAAGCCGATAATGTACAACCACCGAAACACGTGAAGAGCTATAGATATAAATTAAAAGCCAAATCCATCTACAGTCAACTTTGCCAGAGGATGAAATTTGCATTTACAAAATGCTGAATTTAAACCAATGACGTGCAATACGATAACAGTCAACGAAAATAAGGCAAATAAACATGAAATAATAAGTTACACAGATTTGCTAATGAAGCTTTTAAGGCATATACGAGTGCAAAAAAATAACCCATATCTTCAAATCGGTGCAAAAATATAACAGCAGAAGCAAATTTTGGAACACAAAGTTAAACATGGTGGTTTTTCAGGCAAGTACAATCTAAGGGTTATGATATATGTTCATTCCGAGGCAAATATAGTTTTTATTTTGGTCAATAAATCCAAAGAATGGCAGTCATTCCTTTACTTATTGGTTTACGTTGAAAACTGCTGCACGGCAATGTTGAATAAACAGACACGTCCGGAGACGTACGTAAGAACACCAAGACAAATGGGATTATTAGCATTAAAAACGCTAGATTTTCTTCTGTTGTTTAACAGAAGCAAATGATAGTTTCGTACTCCCTCAGATCTCTTTGTCTGTGGACATAAGCGATAACGTTTAATTCATTTTGTACCTACTTTATTTTTTTTTTTTTTTTTCGTTTTTGCATAGAACAAAATACCCCAAAATCAATGATAGCATGGTAATTTTGTAGCAGATTTGTTACACCAAATACATTTTTCGTAACATTTTTAATCCTTAAGTCGCAATGGAAACTTTCAGGGCTAGGAAAATACCGTAATTTGTAGCGATTACGGTAGTATGAGAACGCAGAACGACTATAATTTGACAAACGAATTGCATATACTTACTTCTTCATCTCAACACCATTTACACATATCATGGGTTTTCAAAGAATATAAAGTCTTGTTAGTGGTCAGATGATCAACTATGAAACGGAGATACTATTTCGATAACTTGCACGGATTTGATTAGCTGAATGATGAAACCAACCAACACGTTTTAACATGTTCTATAATGAAATTCAACAGTTGACGAATACTGCAGCACTTCTAGTCATAAATACAAAGCAGGAATTTCGACAGATCATATCTTAAAGATTGTGTTTTCAAACTTCTGAACTAATAGCATCTAAGATGAGAAAAGTTAAATACTTCATTTGTTAATTCTTATCTGTGTTTATCAATTTAAAAAGTATCGTATTCGTTCAATGAGTTACTTTTTAGTTAACCTTTGTTCAATTAAACGTCCCTATATTTACTAAAGAGTGTTAAATTCATTGATTTCTAATGATACTAACCATTGTAGAAAACGAATTCATAATCTTTCGTTTTGTTTTGAAGTAATATTTTCATTATTTTGTCTACAGTTGTGTAGAATGTTTTCACCTCTGACTTCATCTGTTCCTGAGTTAGTAAACCTGCTTCTTTCATTTGGTATATCACATCCACTGGGGCTGCATATTGGCCAACAAAATACTTTTGAATATAGAAATATATAAAAAAAAATATTATTTAATATTGTCATAAGTAGAAAATTTCTAACGTGTTGTTGTCATTTATTAAAGACATGGGTCGATACCTCTGCTGGTGGACTATCAGCCCCCGGGGGTATCACCAGCTTTATAGCCAGTACTTCGGTACTGGCGTACTTTATAACAGACCTTTCTAAAATTGCCCGCTATATATTTTGAAATTATAAAGAAACTCCTTCTGACAGGTAGATCTTAGATGGATGTGGCTATTTTTTGGGTCCTTTTTTGGTAATATAGCTCTTCAACTTTTCGGTTCTTATACGTCAGTGGCTTTAAGTATTCGGCTTTGAGCGTTCCTGGTGAAGGTAAATCCAGAAAAAAACTTCTTGTGTTGTTGTCATTTTTCTTTAACATCATCATGATATTTGTTTTAGAAAATAGTTTGCTTGAGAGTGATTTGCACAACATCTTTTGTCCAATTCAAACAGAAGCATACGTATATTTACTTTCCATTCTTTCATATGAATGGGATAATTCTTTCAATATATCTTTCTGTTATGTCATGAAAGACACATACTTGTGTTAAAGGCTGAAAAGACAGGGTGATTTACACTACTAGTATTACACTGAATATGAGTCGAAAAGAATTAAAATAGATGTATTTTATATTTCAAAAAGATCCGGACCTTTAATTCTTATTTTTTTTTATTTATCAAAATCAGGTTGTAAACACCAGAGTCAAATCAAGCTGAACTAATTCTGCTGATATGCAATCATGACGTATGACACACTAATATCAGTTGGCGTACATCACAGTAAAACACGATTTTATGCAACTATTTCAAATAACACCCAGCAATAACCTCTTGGACACTAGTACTTCCGTCCTTTTGTTTTTGTATGGTAGTTGTCACATGGCCACTCTTAACACATATTCAACAAATAGATGCATGTATTTACCTTTTCTTTATCTGCATGTAGCTTGTACATTGTAAACTGGTACGATCTTGAGGAATCGTCTGGTAGTTTTGTTTTACCATGAACAGGGATATCTTTCAATGTCTGCTCTGTTTTGCAGCTTTCCGGAACGACGAGGAACAGCTTTTTGTCTAACTTAAAATTTTCTTTTTTGCCATCCATCACTGTTGCTGTTTTTTCTTTCATTTCTTGGAGAACAAAATAAAGTCATCAAGAAATATAAATCATTTTGAAATATTAAACACTATTCCAAACAAAGTTTGAAGAAAGGAATTATCACAAAAAGAATATAGTTTTAGAAGACATTAAACCTAAACAAATAAATTAAGATGTGTGATAACCGTCTCGGTGATCTCTTGGTAGCGTGTTCACCTAGAGTGCGGGAGGTCGTGGATTCGAACCCTTCCGGGTCAAACCAAAAACTTTAAAATTGCAATTTGCTGCTTCTCTGCTAAGCATGCGACATTAAGGAGTTAGAGCAAAAATTGGTCGACTCGGAGTAAGAATAATGTGTCCGGGTAGGATGACATTTCAACCTGCGGACTGTTACCTTGTGAACAATCACGACGGCTCATCGGGTCGGTCTAGTACAAAGCAGTGTAAATATTCATTTCAAATTAATATGTTCTCGTCCTCAATATATGCATTTAATTTGCCGCTGGACGTTAAGCAACCGCCCATCATCATCATCATCATCATCATCATCATCATCATCATCATCATCATCATCATCATCATCATCAGAAGTGTGATTCATGATAAGTTAACATGATTAACAGGTGTAAATAGTAAACATTGGAACCAGGCTTTTCTTAAGTTAAAGCTCACCTGGTAGAACTTTGTTCAGGTAATTGACAGCAAACCCCCATGCTAGCCCAACTGCAGCTTCACCTGGTTTCAGATATAAATCTGTAGAATTTTCAAGTTTGACTTCGTTACCTAGAAATATCAAGTACAACGATGGATTGCTTAAATTATTTGCTACGTTGATGCAACTACAAAGTAAATTCTGATTTTAAATTAGACGTAAAATAGTCTTCTGTATGGAACAATTGTACAATCATATTCATAGCATCGTGTATATAACAATATTTTGTTTATGGTTCTAAATTCCAAGCTTTTCCTTATTTGATTGTCAAAAGAAAATAATCATTTTTTCTGATGCACAACGCTTTTTCGCTCGAAGTTATGTTTTGCTCAACTAGATTACGTGAAATGCGGGGAAAGTCTGCTTGCGTCAATAATGTAAAGAAAGCAAACCCAAATTATGTTAACGGCGACCATATCCTTGGTGCACATTTTATAACAAAATACACTTCTCAAAAAGTAAAGAAAAACAAAGTACAGCAAATCATTCGTATTCACTTATTGTAATATTAAGGCCATAACGTTATAATATGCTTATACATTAATACTAGAGTTTTATTTTGTCTTATGTGGGACATACATTTTAAAAAAGAATAAATAAAAAAAATAAAAAATAAACACGAGACTTACCGTTCATTACCTTGTATAATGTATCAACTAAACTATTCTCATTGTTATGGAATGGAATACAAGCAACCCATCTTAGATCATCATAGATATGTAATTCATCACTTTCATTTACAATGGCAACTGTTTGGACCTTCCTAGATTCAAGTATACCTTTCAAAGATGCTACAACTTTATAAGACATCAATGTTTTGCTTTTAGACCCTTTGTGTTCAAACCAACTTTTTTTCTCTGAAGAAGACCCTTTTGGTTTGTCTAAAATCACAATCCAGCGGCATTTCGTTGCAGCGAATTTATTTTTTCCAACCAGTCCTTTCCCAGGCAATCTTTCTCTAACAAAATGTTCATGTTCCGGGCTTTTAAATGTTTACTCATTTTTTCAACCGGTTGTTTGTCGTGTTCTCCTACATCTTCTGGGGAAGTAACAAAAACATCAAATTGGTAGAAGGCGTCTTTATTTTCTTCTGCCGACTGAAGTTTATTTTCCATCAATGAACCATGCAGTGTCTGAAATGTGTTTTTTAATTGGAATACTGAATAATGATACAAATTTCTAGCTAAATAAAATAAAAACAAACGATAAATCAATTCAATAAATGTCGATACAGCCGTCAAATGCTAGTGTTGTTTTTAAATGCAGATAAGCGTAACAATATTCATATAAGGAAGATGTATTTTTGAATTATTTTCTTTATCAATCTGGTGGTTAGCTTATAAATAAAAAAAATGTTTTTGAAAAACAGTCGGCTCATGAATATGTAACAGTCAAAAATATTCTGCAGATGTTTGCCTTTTCTTATTTCAGCGACAAGTTAGCCATTGCACCCCAATATGATAAACAATGATTTTAATGGTCAGTACCTAATTATAGATTTCAGACAGCGATTGTTCTGTAGCTCTAGCATGCTTATGAGAAAGTATGGTCGAATTGGTCAATGCTTATGCTGTGTACGGTCACTATTACGTATTAAATGACTTAGATCTTAGTATACCATGATAGTCGTTTGATATGTAAATCTATTGATAGTGTTGTAATCCCTACTATGATATTTTGACTTGAATGACGGATAAAGCAACGCTTGCGGTAGACGATTTCCGTCTACCCACCAGTCTCGCTCTGTCTGAAGTGAATATGATTCCTTCAGTGTTATCCAATTCGTACATAGCATGTGGATTTACCAGTTCTGAACATCGGTATATATAATGCATCTAGATGATATTAATATTAATATCAAACCTGTTCTGAACTGTCAACTTTTAAATCTTCTTTTATGGCCCGAAGCAGAACTCTTGAAAGTTTATCTTCTGATTCTGTAAAACAGAACATCCAAAATATAATGTTTTCAATGAAATTTAATCAATATGAATTAAATTTATTTATTGAATTGATAAGTATTTGATTTATGTCCCTAAAAGTCCCTTAAAGTTTTGATTGTTGCAAGCGACATATTAAACCGGTATAATATTATATATTTTTCTGTACACAAGCCATACGCAATTAGCTCGTGCATTAAAAGGCGGGAATTTAGACAATAATAAAACCAGTTGTTTCGGACATATTGTTTCATTGTTTAACAAACTTTTGATGGAGTGGAAGGACAAAATAATCAACCACACTCTACCCTAAAAATTATTTGTTTGCTGCTGATATTTTTTATAATTACAGATTTTGTATGCAGTCTTTACCAAATCGTTATGACTTTGAAGAATACGAATTTGATCATTATGACATATGATGGATGGTGCTGTGATCCATTTGAACAATAAATGTGTATGGCAGAATCTATCTTATTTAGGTGCTGGAAGCCCAGTTACCACCTCTTCAGTGCTGGTTGCCCTTTACTTAATCAAAGAAAAACATAATTATATTGTCATTGAATGATTTATTCTTTGGCCTCTTGAAAATCTGATTGTTGATCTGATGTTGTAAAACTAAAGCTATGACAAATTCGCCAATTCTACATTTGTGTTGTTTTTATTCATGAGACAAATAATTGATCACAACATAGAAACTAATTGTATGTCATAGGTATTACTTTATTCGATTTACCATTTACGTATAGTGTCAGTTTTGTATATTCGATATCATATACAATAATAAAAGCCTAATTCAAAATTTAAAATGTCAATATCAGATTTTACTGTTGCTTCCTGATTATTACAGAGACTATCTACGCCGTTTGAATTATTAATAATACATACAAATGAAAACTGAACAAATACTGGGCAGCACAACCACACCAACAACCAACCGCTGACTCCTCCATAAAAATAACAGCTATGAAAACGGCGACAAATAACTATGAACACACGGTCTAGATAGTCTGACTTTGAAGAGGCACAAACTGTGTTTGGGTCTTTCATATTTTGCGTGCGCCACACACCCTACCCATACAAAACTTTGACTATTTTGTCTTTTCGTCGTAATAAGTGTTTTAACATGATTGTTGAATGTCCCCGTTTCTATTTGTTCATATGTAGACCATATTTTGTTAAAAAAAAAAAAAAACAACAAAACCTTGTCAATTGAATTTTTACCACTTACATGAACGATGAAATAAAAACATGTCACCTTATTTGGAAATCAGGGCTCGCCATTAGAAAGAAAAATGTTGGATTTGACATATTTAATATTTGCATAAATAAATACAATTTCAGAATTATTGCATGTTTTAAAAGAAATGGATGGGCAGCATTTCAACAATATTCATTTCCATTCAATAATTAGTAATAATTATTTTCGGAATTAGAATATATTTTTAAGCAACAATTGATCAAACCAATCTTAAAAGAGGTGGGAGATACCAAATGGTTATTCAAACTCATGAGTTGAAGACCGACCAAACGACAAACAAGGTTATATAAGAGAAAATGTTCTATTTACTGCCATAATGGAGGAAGTCGAAATATCTTTATATTGTTTAACCACTGGCAAGGCTAGGTGCAAACATATGATTTGGCAGAAATATATTCTAAGCTTAAAACTTGCAATAAAATTAGTTAAACAAACATGCAATTCAACTAGTTGAATCATGCAATAAGATTTAGTTAAGAAATTATTATTTTGAATTAATTTCTTCTTTCAAAGGTGTGCATCACATCTAATTAAGTAATAATTAACCAATTACCGTTAAACAAAAGAAATCTAGCTTTTTCTTTGTTGTCTTTTTTCAAACAAAGTAATGAATTCATTGCGTAGTAGAATCTCATCAGCTGAACCAGTTTTGTGTCAACGGTAAACAACTGTAGTGTGGGACTTTTTCGCCAAGGGAATAACAAATTGCTGGATGTAGAACGTGAAATCCCAGCCGTCTGAATGTCATTCATGTTGTTTATTGTATTCAACACAGGAGGGCATTCACAAACACAATAGTATTTCTAAAATATTATAATATGATTTCTTTAACTATTTGAAGACTACTGATTGATTTTAAAGTAAAACGACAAACAATAATCTACACAACAAAACATAGAAAAATAAAGACAGAGCAGCACCAATCCCAGCAAAACCGGTGATTAACCCGTGTGCTCCTGTAGAGTAACCAAATCATGTTCCACATGGGGCTACCGGGTCACTCACTTAAGTACAAATTCGGTTATATCACATTCGTGGTAAAGGGGACGGGCTTGTGGTTACGACAATTGGAACATATCCGTCGCCATCTGTGAAACAGATCTTCAATAACAAACAACCAACTCGTAAAATCGTCCGTACAAATATCGAAGGGATGGCTTCAACATCCCCACTTTGAACTGTAAATTAATAGCGTCCTTGTAAGCAGCAACAATAAATAGATTAATCGGCCAAAGAGTAAAAAAAAAAAAAAACCTCTTTCAAATAGATTATTGAAAATTTAAAAAAAGCTTGACACAAACTGGAAAACTTATATAAGTTTGATTTAATCGCTTTTAAACAAAATTAATCCCTTTCAAATAGATTCTCTTGCGTTCAATTAAAGTTATTAAAGACTTGGTTAAGTTCCGTCAAACTGCTTAGGCACGCACCAGTTAAACACTTTCAAACTATTAGTAAGTAAGTAAAACTTTATTTTGATTCGAAATATTGACAAACAAATTAAACGTAAGCTCTGATGAGCTTTTCACCGAATATAAAAACATATACAATAACAAATAAAACAAGGTATGTAGCATGCACAAAAATAAAATGGCTTATACTCATGAAACACTTCCCCTGTGTCTAAACTACCCTGGCAAAAAATGTTTGGACTCGATGGTATCTAATATCCGGCACGGTGACGGAACATCAATAGACAGAGAAAAGGTAGTTTTCTGTTTATTTATTTGTTATTTTTATGATATCGAAGAATATATATACATATATCACTATTTTCTATTGTGAGATGTAATATTTTCTACAACCGTTCTAGATTAACGGAGAAATAAGTAAAAATGCACGTCAAAATAACGAATTGAGTGAACCTTGCCTCGAATTTGTTTAATTTCTCGTTAAATTGTTCACATGGTACGGAAAGAAAGGTACGGAAAGAAAGATATTGACATGGAGATTGCAAAACTAGTCACTTTGAGCACCTCAATACTTGTATTTCTGCGTATGGAACGAAAGAAATGGGTCATGTCAAAATGGAAGCACCCGGTTTCGTCAATGTTGTTTACTACACAATGACCCGGTTTTGTCTATGTATAGAACCCGGTTTTGTTTATTTTATGAAAAGCAACGTTAACACTGATACCCTGAAACAAAAAATAAATTTACAAATGGCTGATCATGTGGGTTTTCAAACCAGATATCTCAATAAAGCATGCGGCCAAGTTTAATTAAATTGTTAAAGAGGAGAAGATTTTTGTAAGATAATTGGCAAAAACGCAAAGAAATGGTAAAAATCGTAATTAAAGGTCAACAATTCTTACAAGGATATCGACCAAGTCGACTTATTCGTATATATTGTCTTACTGATCATTTTTGCTATATACTTTTTATATATTTCAAGATAATAGACAGAAATGGGAAAAAGAAGAAATCTGTCATTCAAGACATTAATTTCTATAAGAATTGTGTGAGAGTTTTGATGTATATGGACAAAAGGTAGAGCTCAACATTGTGAACATATCTGTTCCTGTTTTAAATTTTCTCTATCTATAGCTGTTTTACAAAAATAATAGACAAAACTTGCATCCCCCTATGTTCTATTTTGTTGACAAGCGGGGTCATCAAAAACTTTTTAAACTAGATACCCCAATGATGATGAAAAACAGTTAAACATAGTTCGTTAGACCTTTTAAAACCGACATAAGATTGTGGATAAGGTTTGTTTTATGTATTGTAGCCCAGTAATTTCAGAGGAGAAGATAATGTAAAAAAATAACGGAAGACAACGGACGACGGGGACCAAGTGATGAAAAAAACTCACTTTTCCCTTGGGGTCAGGTAAGCTAAAACCAACCAAGAATTCCAAACAAGATTGCACCGTTCTTGAATGAAAAAAAATGTCTAACAATTCATATTTAAGGCTTACACGAACGACATAAACTAATACATGGCAAAACAACTTTAATTGCGTTTTTTTTTACAAAAATAAATACTACGTATTATTTATACAAGAGTGACTGTACGCACTGACATGTCGCGACTGCTGGAATGATCATTATTGAATTTATTTTGAAGGCCTGTAAGATAAATAATTTAATAAAAGTATCACATAAGATTAACATGGTTCATGGAACCATAAAAAAAGTCAAGGTCTGATGAAACCTGCCAGACGGACATGAACACATTACAATCATTAAAACAAAAAAAAAAAAACAAAAAAAAATTAACATTTACCAATAAATCAAGAAAATAAGTTCAAGGTCACATAAATAGTCATTTGCGCCATACGAGCAAATATAGTTGACCTATTACTTATGATATTAGAGATACGGACTTGAACACGAAATGTTAACCTTGATCTGTGTACGAGGTATGTTTCAGTCAGGCCTTCTAACTTCTGACATATAAAGCTTCATACAAATAGTTCAAGCCGCCACAAATTTGCATCCCTTGGTCTTGCATTCCGACAATTCCAAAATATCAATGTGAATTTTTAGAATAAACATGATAATCCTACTCACATACATCCAATTTCGCGGGTGTCCCTGCTTTTTTATTTCTTATAAAATTTTAAGTTGGTTTACGATTTAGTTATATAACATCAGTGGCGAATCCAGGCGGCGTATAGGTCGCACGCCCCCCACCCCCACCTTTGATGGCCCAAAAATCTTTTTTTTTTTTACGATTTTTTTTAGCATAAATTCGTCCAAAACATTGTTCGCTTCGCTACGCTCTGCGGTATGTAAGCTGTTTGAATTACGACTACTTTGAAAAATCCTGAATTCGTCCATATATATTGTCAATGTACGATAATCATAACACAATGGAGAGATAACAGTACCGTTTATTTATACAACTATTAATAAAATAATCATTATTGCATTTTCTCGATGGCCTGAGACTATTATTCTAATTTATACTTAGTATTATAGTTACAATTGGGGATAAATAGATTTGATTTTTAATGTATGATTATTGTAATCCTTTTCTCACCATAAACATTCATTTTCTATGGCGATTCTGCATGCATATATACATTTGTCTGGTTATCATGCCTTATAATGAACAGTTATCCTTAAGAAGATTTATTTTAAACGATCATAGGAAAGATTACACCCCTAGATTACCTATAAAGATAACCATCCTGTTGTGCAAGAAAATCACATATTAAATGTGCGTCCTTCAATTTTTAAGACCATAAACTCTAATTTTAAGTTTAAACACTCAAATTTACATAATTCATATAAAAAAAAAAAACGTATAGAGAGCTTAAACCTCAATTTGCGGTTTAACCTTCATTTCTATCTATTTCGCAGTAAGAGTATTTTTTTTTAAATGCAAAGCAAAATAATAATTATTTATGTTCCAATAAAGTAGGAATTCAAGTGTTTACAGATTCAAATAAATAATAAGTTGTCCTCTGTAAGAAATCGCTTTCCAACCTGCCACCAAACTCCTTTTAAACGCTGAAGTTCAATTATGCTATGCAATTATGCATTTTTTTTCCTTGACAAAAACGGGTTCTGCCTTGTGAAATCTAAGACAAAACCTGTTTAAACACATTGACAAAACCGGGTGCTTCCATTTTGACATGACCCATTTCTTTCGTTCCATACGCAGAAATACAAGTATTGAGGTGCTCAAAGTGACTAGTTTTTCAATCTCCATGTCAATATCTTTCTTTCCGTACCTTTCTTTCCGTACCATGTGAACAATTTAACGAGAAATTAAACAAATTCGAGGCAAGGTTCACTCAATTCGTTATTTTGACGTGCATTTTTACTTATTTCTCCGTTAATCTAGAACGGTTGTAGAAATTATTACATATCACAATAGAAAATAGTTATATATGTATATATATTCTTCGATATCATAAAAATAACAAATAAATAAACAGAAAACTACCTTTTCTCTGTCTATTGATGTTCCGTCACCGTGCCGGATATTAGATACCATCGAGTCCAAACATTTTTTGGGGTAGTTTGGACACAGTGACTTCGCGCCGTAGTAAAGATGTTCATGCGTTAACGAAGATTTATTTTGATTTGACCAAGGATTTATAACGTGAGACCAAATCCAACTTTTGACAATCTTGTTTAAACTTAAATAATAATTTTCGCTCTTTCCATATTGTTTAACGATTTGTTTTAACAACGTTTAATTAGTGCGTAATTTTCAATAATAATAACTAATTATTAATAAACAATGTTATAAAATGTGTGACTTGTTTAAAATATTTTAGTGATTTTTTTTATATATGATTAAATTTATTTATTACATTGGTTGCAGTGAATTACCGTGATGTTCCAGTCAAATAAAAAAAACCGATAATTTCACATGTGAAATAAACTCGGATCTGGTTACAATAGGTGTTGTCAAGACGTTGTCGATGACGTCGCATCAATGCAAATTGTGAATGCGTAAAAAAGATATAGTTCCTTACATTTTCTATTTTTATTTCATTTAAAAGCCCATTGTTATTGTAATAAAAGAATAACTACAAAAAAATGTAATCAAAGATTCAAATATCGAAAAATATTCAACTCGTGACCGAACAACACTGATAATTAATTCGTGACTTAATGGGTTGTTCGGTCACTCGTTGAACTATTTTCTATATTTGAATTCTTCGTTATTAGTTATTTTATAATGATTGCTTTGTTTGTTTGTTTGTTTTTTTATTTGGTTGTCTCGCTACTCTAAATAGGAATTTTGTTTGCATTCGAAGTAAACTTATTCTGAAAAGATTTTCTTTCATGATAAAACAATATTGGTTTTTTTAAATACCTAAAGTGTATTGAAAATTAAATTAAAAATTAAATGAATTTATTTCCACAAAACTAGCAAAAAATTACTATTTTATGATTTTTGAAGCATAAAGTAAAAACGGATTCGTGCTGCAAGTAATTCATATAACTAACAATATGTTATTTCTTTGTTAATGTGTTTGATAATTTATTTGTCTCCCTACTTTAGATAAGTATTTTTTTTTTTTTGCATTCACGGTGAACTATTTTGGGATGATCCTTTTAATAACAAGAACATATTCCATTTTAAAATATTTTACTTAAAAACGAAATTAAATTTAAAATCGTCTTTCACTTCCACATAAAAGATAGAACATTTCAGTATCTTACGATTTTAGAACATCAAGCTGAGTCGTGAAGCTTTCTAAAACAAATCTCAAGGTTGCACTTTGTAAATACAACTGTTTCACAAACCACGCCTCTTTTGGGGAGATATATAATATTCATAGATATTTATTTTTGCTTACGTACTGGTTCCCAGATATGATCTCTATGTTTCTTCTCGTAGAGACATAACTTGGGAATGTTACCAGTAAATATACACAAGCATAGCGGTAAAATTGAAATTTGCGGAAGACCAAACGTCAAGGTAGGGGTAGTACAGAATTTTACAAGTTTAAACTCTTAGAAGTTCGGGTCATATAAATGTTGAAAATATGCCGCACACCCTTATATTTTGACCTTTAAAAAAAATAGTAGTGCATATGAACTTTCCATTCTAGGATATAATTTTTTTCAAAACTTCATAGTAAAAGTGGTACAGTTTTAGTCGTAAAAGGAGTTCCTATGGGAAATTGCATTGTCGATATTTACAGAAATGCAACCTATAGGCTTTATCGTACGAGGAGTGAAACATAGATAGTAGGAAGAAGACCATCAGTGTTTATCAAAATGTTCTCCTTATAGTAATTCCATACACCAATAATAGTTGACTCATTGCTTATAATATATGAGATAGGAACTTGACCACAAAAACGTCACTCTGATCAAGTATTCAGGGGTAAATAAAAGTTGAACCCAGTTGACAGACATGCAGACCTTGCAAGAATCCCATATTCCAACTAAAGTTATTGAGAAATTCCATGACAAAATTAAACAGTTTTTTAAGCAGTCGCTGAAGCATGAAAATAAGGTCATGGACAAAGGAAGTATCACAGAGAAACTTCGTCTTATAAAGAATCTGTTTGAAATGTCGGAATCATCCAGGTCGTCTTCTTTCTGTAATATTGATCTGTTAACGATTAGTGTACATCGTCGCCAGTGACACAGCCTGATGCACAACCCTATGTCTCGCATTTTGTGAATTTCGTCGAAGGAGAGACAAACATTCTAACGGAAAAATTACATTTAAGTATTTGTGGAAAATCATAACAAAATAAAATTATTGTAAACTATATCTAGCTTAGTTAATACAGCAATGAATTACTTAGTTTATGCATATGTTATCTTAGATATGTATAATGTAAATTTTACCATTTTCCCATCCTTAATGCTATAAATTTGAAGTTTTATTTTTCTTTTATTGCCGGCTCTGTCTCCCTCTATAGCTATATCTGATACTCTTGCAATGTTCTCATCACTCCCTGGTATATCTACATAACATTTTCTTGGAATCAATTCATATAGTTTCTTTGGTATTTTCTTTCTTTCATCATTTGGTAGCTTTTTGTACCATTCTGTTTGTTCAATCTTCTCTTCAATCACTACGGGTACATATTGAAAAAAATATTGGATATTGAAGATTAAAGTTATGACTAAAACTATTAAACAAGTGTTTTCTTTCAAAATGCTGCGAACTAGTTGCAAGTCCTATCTTTCAGTTATTGTTGTATGTTAACACGCAACCAGATATCTCTCTATACACCAGTCCTATTCCAATTCGCGTGAATATTCTGTAAACGGTTTACAAAAAAAACTAAACATAACAATCGGCTGTCATTGCTTGTTTTCATTTGATTTTGTTATGTATTATTTTTTTGAATGTTGTTGTAAATGAGGGTATTTACTTATTTTCGAGTCACACTTTCATAACGGCTTATCCTTCAATGTAGAATTGCGTCTGTCGATTTATTGTCAATTGACATATGTGTAATGTTACCGAAAAACTTAAGTATTTTATATTTCCGTCGTTTCCCCTCAAAACTTTGTTGGAGCAATAATCGGATTGGCATTTTGCAATACTTTTAGGACACCGATAGCGTTTTCATTTCCACTCGATATCGTGTGTCAATGTGACGGTGTTATGTTATATGTTCAAAAGGAGCTATGCTGTTGCTTTATTATACAGTCCGTTGATAACACAGAGGTTCATAAAGTACCTCATTTTGTTGAAGAGGTAAAACATGCAATCAATCATCAATATTACCTTGAGAAAATCATTATACTTTCACCGCTAAAACATTGAACTAAGTATATTCTTTTTTTGCTTGAATTTCCTAAAACCGTTCTGAATATGACTGTTTTACTGAGTGTTAATTCACATTGCTATAAGACGTGTCTCGGTATTTGTTTATCCAGCGTTCATGTATTGAGTTACGAAGTTTTATTTGTAATTCTGAACGGATATTGTTTTGTGTCTTATCGTTTGTAGTTGTGATTCTATCTTTTATTTTCTATTCGTATGTGCAAGTATAACGATAATTAATCACCCAGTTCATTTGTATAATCTTAGTTTAAAGCAACTTTGTGAACAGGATTTATTTGTTTTACACAGTTTGATTTGGAAGAAAGGCCGACATAGTTCGTTGCACTATTACTAACACAATTCTATATTAGTATTCTTGTAATTGTTATAAAATACATCAAATAACGTAATTAGAAAAAACCTAATCTTGAAATATATCCAATTTTTAGAAATTTACCTGTGACGTTACTTTTTGTGGCGTTGATCCATTCGAGGTACAGACACACACATCGTAATTCTATTAAGCTGTTTTTGTGTCCTAAATTATTCTAGTTATTCGTTGTTATTCTGTGGTTAACATGTCGAAATGTAATATTATATTATTTATTTATGTATGTCTCTGTCTTTGGTGTTTTTGCATCTATTTGTACACTGTTCCCGTCATGTAATGTTGACATTTTAGCGGTATATTTAACATTGCCATAAAGCGCGAAGGTTTGGCTAGCCACAAAACTAGGTTCAACCCACCATTTTTTCTTAAAATGTCCTGTACCAAGTCAGGAATATGGCAGTTGTTATTTAATAGTTCATTTCTATGAATGTTGCATTGTTGTTGTTAGTTTTTGTTGCACTTCTGTGTTCTGTTATTGCGTTGTTTTACTCTTATAGTTGATGTGCTTCCCTTGGTTTTAATTTGTAACCCGGATTTGTTTTCTCTCAATCGATTTATGACTTTTGAACAGCGGTATACTACTGTTGCCTTTCTTTATCTGCCATAGATTTATTTTCCTGGAATCAATATACAAATGTAGCATCATATTACTACATTACCTGGTAAAACATGCTGTAGATAACCACAGTAATGTGACCACGCAAGCCCATGGGCCACGTCATTTCCAATCATCTTTCTTCTCTCTATAACATGCATACAAAACAAATGTTTTCAGTGTTCTTAAAACTAAACTCATCATAGATACCAGGCTTAAAATTGTGTACACCAGAATCGCGTTTCGTTAATAAAATATTCTTCAGTGATGCTATAATGACCCAAAAAAAAGTACGAGTTAAAGAGCATTGAGGACCTCAAATTCAGCTAAGGTAATCTATTCTTAGGGTAGTAAATCCTTAGTATTTCGAAAAAATACCCAGATAATTTACTTATGACAATATCAATGATAATTCATGTCAACACAGATGTATTAATAAATGATACCAGTGCCAAGCGAATCGTAGTAGTATAATACATATCAATAATTGACCAATGTATTCATAACAATCCACTCGAGTTATCATACAAACTTATTCTCATTACTGGTACACGATACATACTTTACACATTTCACAATCTGTTTGGAAGTCTTCGACAAATACTATCATATGTGAAGCTCCAATATATACCATTAAATAAGGCCATATAAAGTTTTCAATTTAAGTAAACTAAATGGAACATTCAGATGTCCAACTAATATATGACTAAAATTCAGAAATATCTATAACATGTAATGTTAAGTGACAATTCATAAGGATATGCGAAATTCTGTTTATCATAATATTTTTCGGTCGTGCTTAATACATTAAACAACCCAACGCCCTACCCTGACGTAGCTTTACGATGTACCTACTAATGTGGAAAATGGTATTTCTACATATTTTATATTTATATTTATACTAAACAAATTTCTTTTTGGAAAATATTTTTCTCTTTGTAAGTAGTAGATGTAATAATATGTTTGCACATACATCCTTTTTTTTTAATAATGATTACGTCTCAGATAAAACTATAATCAATATATGTTAATTACAAGTTGTCATAATACTTGTTTGATAGTAATTATAGAAATAAAATACATTTAAATTTAAAATGTCAAATGATTTATTTTACTCATTAGTTTTATATTAATACAGAAGTTCAATCCTTGATATAAGGACCATATGTTTTAAGTCACACACTAACCTTCCGCTTCTCTCTTCTCTGTAATTTTCCCTGAAGACCAGTTTAACCCTGCACAACAACAATAAATTAAACATGTTAAAATAGTAATTTATACATAGCGTTTTCTTAAGTCGAGGAAATATTTTCTTTCCCTTTTTTGTAAGTAGTAGAAAATTTCGATTTGATTACAATATTGAGAATAAAAGCATATGATAAAAGTCGTTTTAACTGAGAAAAAAATCTATTAATCGCTTGTCTAGTACCACAAATGTTCGAATGGCTTAGTGTAATTGTAGTTATGCTTTCCTTCTGCCAGAAATCATATATATATATATAAGATGGCATGAGCAATAGGACGTATGTCTGTGGTAATGTAGGGACTGCTTACCCTTCTAGAGTTCATTCCATTGTTTGCCAAAGTTCTTGGTTCTTAATCTTAAGTTTTCTATGTAGTGTTTGTTGATCGTTGTTTGTCTTTCATCGATTTTGTTTTGGTCATGGCACGCGTTTTGTAATTTTCTGAGACATTCTGCTTGTGATTACTCCCTGTTTATCTGCTGTCTTATAGTGTTGATTGTGTGCCCTTCATCAATGTGCAAATATTAGAATAAAACTGCTCACAATTGATCGCTAAATGTAAAATACTTCGATATTCACCGTTTAGAATGACTATTGCAGCATAAAAATGAAAACAACATGTTTTTAATTGCATGCGTCCGAAGCGCTTTTCTGGATTTACCTTCACCAGGAACGCTCAAAGCCAAATATTTGAAAGCCGATTAACCCATAAAATTTACATACTTTAACGAAGTTGTCGATCAAATATTTATCATATAGCATATATTAAACACACCTGTGATAAGATCTTGTATAAAAACCTTATATGCCGTAAATGCACTCACCAAGGTTACACTCGCCGCACATTAATAATTAAAAAATATATAATTGCATGTATAGACCGTTATGTGAATTCATTAGATACAAAACTGTTAGTACACAGCTTGTATACCTGCAGAAGGAACACTCTGAAAGATGTTAATATTATATATGTTTCAGCGTTTGAATGCTTCTCTCATCAATACACAGAAAATGTCGTCTTTCGGTTAATCGAGGTCTGATGAGTAATTTGTAACTACACATTTTGTAAAAATGTACTTTTTCTAGCATTCAAATCACTGCTGCAAATAGTATTGTGTATCTAGCAAAATAGCTTTAAAAAAATAACGGCGAATTCAAGAGTTAAATGTATGTAATATCTTGATAGGATTGAAAGGCGAAAATAGACTCCTTGAAATCTAGATCAATGTATTTTAGAAAATTTACCATAAGTATTAATGGAGAGGAAATTAACCGTAAAAGTTGCTTCAAAACGTGACTAGAGCTCTAAAAAAATAATTCAGTTCTTTGAAAATTTGTTAAAATTAAGTTGTAAATTCAATTTACTTATAAGTCTTTTTTTCTCTCTCCCATGTTATAAGTTATCAAATCGATAAATCAAATGAGAACAACAGTTACTAATTTGTGAAAACGTATAAAATACCAAACCCCAAGGCAAATTCAAAAAAGGGGAATTCCGTTAAAGCTGACTAAAATCAAACGCTATCAATATTAGTTTAATTTTTACATCGATGATATTTTTATTGTTTGTCGTCTGTACGAATATGTTTAAACGATTATCATACAGGTTTCCCCAGAATTTTTTCGTATGTTTTTCTCTCTCTTAAACTTTGATTGCAGATAATGCTTTTAGTACTTTGTCATGAATGACAATTCTATAGTGTTTTGTTCAAAGTAACTATTTCATATTAATTGTTGTCATTTTCCGCCGATGAATCAATGATTCAAATTAGTTTGTAATTATTAAACTTATATATAATTCATCACTGTTGCTATTATATTTGTATAATTATGTAAATTTTATAGGCTGTATTACTGTGGCCCTCTTCTTGCCGACTTGTTCCTTTAAATCCCCGCCCCCTTTTCACGAATGTGACCTACCGAATCAGACTTATTACCGGGATTGTACTAACACGAGCAATACGACGGGTGCCACATGTGGAGCAGGATCTGCTTACCCATCCAGAGCACTTGAGATCACCCCCAGTTTTTGGTGGGGTTCGCGTTGCTCAGTTAGTTTTCTATGTTGTGTTTTATGTACTTTGTTTGTCTGCGGGTCCTTTTCTTTTTTAGCCATGGCGTTCAGTTTATTTTCGACTTACGAGTTTGAATGTACCTCTGGTATCTTTCGCCTCTCTTTTGAATAACATACTATTATGCGTTCAAAATAACTAAGTTATTAAGTACGTAATAGGTACATCATCGGTCTTCGTTAACGAAAACTTGTGTAAGGTTAACCAAATAGTATTACGGGACATATACATACCTGTTTTACCTAATTTGCCATATACTCGAGACAATGTTTCTATATTAACGATGCCCTTTAATTTTGTTAAATAATTTACCCTATAAAGAAAACAAAAAAAAACATTTATGTATTTGAGTATGTTTGAGTATAAGGTTCTCTGAAAAGAACAAAACACAATAGAAAATAAAATAGTTAAAGCATTATGACTTAATGTGAGTCAAGTATTAAGAATCAAACATTTGGCAAGTTATGATTTTCCAATATCTGAAAGGTATAATAAAAAATGTTTTTTTTAAGAAAATTATCAATCGTCACAGATGAAATGGGTTCGTAATGTCAACCCTGTTAATTTATAAATGCAATAACTGTCAACCACCTTTGCTCTTACGTGTACCCCTTTTTACATTTGAACTTACATGTTAGTTTCCTTCGCCATATTTTCAAAAGGCAACATAAAAAGACCTGCTCTCTTTTCTACTCATAACTAGCCTGAAAATTGAAAATCAGAAAAATGATAAAAGAAATTTCAAGTCGTGACAAATCGAATAAATATACAGCTGACAGATCTTAGGCATATAGTTCCGAAAGGCTGGTAGTGGACTGTTCGTTCCCAACGGGTATCACCAGCTTAGTAGTGCAGGCTTCGGTACTTACAAGATTCATAATATACCTTTAAATTTTCAATTCAATGATCCTTTGATAAATTGATAAATTATTAAAATAATAAAAATAAAGATCTCAGACAAAGATTAACTATAGGTGGATTTAATTAATCTTTTGTCCCTTTTGATCTTAAAGCTTTTCACATTATGAGGTAGTAATACATCATTGGCTTTTTTTTTTGGGGGGGGGGTTCAGAACGAAGGCTTACCTAAAAAAAACTTCTTCGCAGGTTTTTTGGATTTGTTTCACGTTTTTCGGAAGTTATGCTTTGATTTTTAATAACACATTGTATAATTACTGTACTTTGAAATTGGGACATCTGCTTTTCTTCTAAAGTTAGTTGTCTGACTGGTTGGTTAACTATAAACACACAACATATGTGACACTACGCTATGCAAGACAAAACTATTTTGATATTGAGAAAACATATCACTGTAACTATGATAATACATAAACGTAACTATGCACAATTGATAAGTTTCAATTGAAATGGTGCAACCAAGTTAAAGAGATAATTATTTTCTTATATCTTTTGTTTATCTGAAAACACAGTTTAACGAAAATATGAGTGAAGTTGTCTCGCTCTGTTAATATTTCTGACATTTGTGTGGTTCAGTGTGCATCTTAATTTTTAATATGAGACAAAAGTAAAATAACAAAAATACCGACTTCCAAGGAAAATTCAAAACGGAAAGTCCCTAATCAAATGGCAAAATAAAAAGCTCAAACACATCAAACGAATGGATAACAACTGTCATATTCCTGACTTGGTACAGATGACTGTTTATTATTACACTGTAAATGTGAAAGGGGAAACAGCCACAAAGACCATTTATGAAAATGCTTAAAATTTAAACATGCAACTTCATACCTACAATGAGAAAATTGGAGGTTAGATAGCTTAATGTTTGCATTTAGTTTTGTTGTGATTTTTGTTAAAATTCCATCTGATGAGCTGTATAAATCAAATTATAATCAAGTCAACCTAATCCAATTGACGTTACTGGGTTGATTTTAGAAAAAATAAGCAGTATCTGCTCGACAAAAAAAGAGACGTTTCAACAACTGTAAATATAATACAATGATAGTATATGAAAAATAGCAGAAAATAGAAACAAATAAAATAGATTATTCAATTGCCGTTTCAATCTTAAATAATATAAAGATACAACATTTATTTGATACATGTCATTATTAATAATAATAATAATAATGCATGTCCCGTAAAGATTTCGGAGAGAAACACAAGATTCGACTGCAACAACGAATTATAACAAAAGAGTAAAATGTAGATGATGAAGAAGAAAAACATTATCCTACACGCCTTAATCCGTACATAGTCGTCCTGAGCATGCATGAAATATTTGTCACTGGAATTAAGCAACCAACAATCAATCAATTAATCCATACACCTCTTACAGGGCCACTAACTGTAAAATTCATGTTCACCGATTTGACTCAAGTTCTCATATTTGATTTATAACATACTTAAACGTATATCCAAATTCATCAGCAATGTGTCTATGGTTATTTTGACCAAACTGAACCGAATTGGCTACTAAAAACAAATTATTACATTATTTCACTTTTATTAATGATTGAACGAAACAAAATCATATTTTAATTTGTTTCATATATGGTAGCTAGTGCCCCTTTTAACCACAATATTAATGCAATGCAGACAAAACCAATTTGGTGCGTTTTTTTTAATCATTATAGCTTGATATATATGTTCTTATTGTAACATGAGTAACTTTCATACACGAATCAAGTAAATTAGTTTTGAATACATAATATTTGCATCTTTGTATTACATATACAATTGTAAATATGATATGTCAGTGTTACCTAGCGTATTTGGCGCTTGCAATCTTCCTCAATCTTTATTTAAAAACAAATGTTTGGTCACAATGCTATTTTTAAATGAATTTAACACAAAATACTATGTCGTTTATAAATTTAATTTAGTTGAAAACACTGAAGTGATCGAATATAGTGTGGTAGAAAAATGTCTGAATAAGAATTAATTCCTGCTACAAACGTTTATAAATCAACCGCCATTTCCAATATGGACCCCAACATATGTACTAATTCTAATTGTTAGAATGTCTCACGAATTTTGATATAAAGTTATAACATAATATAATTAACTTCTGGTGTCCAAAATTATCCATTCTCTCTCAATTTTAGACTATCTGTTGGCCACATTTTTTAAAATGCGTTATTTTTCTCCCAGTTCTCAGACACTTATATATGAGCTGGACCTTAATGGTATGTCAGCTTTTCAGTTTGAAACAATTTAGTAAAAAGTAAAGCAAACAACATTATGGACGCAAAATGTAATTCATCAATTATATTTATATATATATATATATATATATATATTTAAGTGCCTATAAATAGCAGCACATGACATACAAATCTATGGGAGTGTGGATTAATCAGTTCAGAGATTAATTCAATTACACAAATAAAATTATAGATTGCCTAACAATGTAATTTTAACACACTATTTAGTATGTAAATATAAGAATGTTTAAAATATTTACAAAATGATGAAAATAAACGCAATATTTCGCTAGACTAACTAGCTTTATCAAGCGTGCATCTATCCAGGTGAAATCGGATGTAGATGATAAGAAACTTTTGCAGCTCAATGTATATGTTGCACTTGAAGTTAGCTGCCTTGAAAATAATACATAATTTGGATGAAGTTCAAGATTTTTACAAAATTGGTAGTTGAAGTTAGCAACGTCCATTGGCCAATATTACAGGATAAAAAGGACGATGCTGTGTACTAAATTATTCTTTATCTTTCCTGTATCTTTTCTCATCTTTTTCGTTAAGACCATCAGGTTCTAAAGTGTGGAGTTGGTGGATCCAAAAATTTTCTCTTCTCCTTCTCGCCGTGGTGTCCCACTCGGTGTTGACTTCTATGACTTGGAAGGTAACATTATCAAAAGGATGTTTCGTTGGACGAAGATGTCTTGTGAGAGGACAGTTTTTGTTGGTTTTGTACCATGAACGATGGTTATTGAGCCGAATATTAAATTTTTCCATTGTTTCTCCCACATAATGAATGCCACATGTGTCACATGTTAATATATAAATTGAGTTCTCCGTTTTACAGTTGGAATTTGAGTAGATGGTATAATTTTGTTTAGTAACGGAGCTGATGAAAGAACTGCTTGTATTGGCAGCTTTACAACACAAGCAGTTCCTTCGACCACATTGTTTGTAGCAACCGGGAGATGGAGTAGGCTGCTTTGCTAATACAGATGTCACTAATTTGTCACGGATGTTTTTAGGTCTTGACTGGTGGTGAGGGAAATACTTTTTTAAGATTTGAATCATTTTCTATAATTTTCCAATGCTTCTGAACAATGGAAGACACATTTTTGAAATCAGGATGGTAAGTGAGTACAAGGGGTGTTCTGTTAGATGCTTTATTCTTATCTTTGTACTCTAGAAGTTCTTGGCGACTAGTTTTGTTTGCTCTTTCGAAAGCGCTATCAATGATGTTGTTATTGTATCCTCGAACAACTAGATGTTTACGTAGTTGTCCAAGTCTAGCATTTTGCGTATTTTCAGTAGAGCATATTCTCTTGATTCGCAATGCCTGGCTGAATGGGATGCCACGGGAGCAGTGTTTAGGATGGCAACTTTTAGAAGAAAGGAATTGATGTTTGTCCGTTTGTTTGGTATGAAGGTCCGTTATAATGGTTCCGTTCTTGATGTAACTCGTAGTGTCGAGGAAGTTTATTTTCTCCATAGATGATTCATATGTAAATTTTATTGAATGGTGGAAAGAGTGACAGTGTCCTAGAAATTCATTAAGATGTTCTTGTGAATCTGTCCATTTGAAATCAATATCGTCAATGAATCGGAATCATGATAAGGGCTGGTATGGAGCACTAGCCAAGAGGCGTTTTTCAATTTGGCCCATAAATATGTTAGCATATGACGGGGCCATTTTTGTGCCCATACTAGTACCGTCTATCTGGAGATAATGTTTTTCATTGAAAGAGAAGTTGTTGTTCTCTAGCACTAGTTTTAGAAGTGTAACAAGGCACTCAGTTGGAGGATTTTTTTTCACTACGAGTGTTCCATACCTCTTCACACGCTGCTATTCCTTCTTCTTGTGGAATGTTGGTATATAAAGAAGACACGTCCATGGATGCAAGTATAGTATTGCTTGGTAGAGGATTGAGGCTTTCCATTTTCTTTAGATAATCAGTCGTATCTTGAATGTAAGAGGGTAGTTCTTTCACATGAGGTCTTAGATGATGGTCTACAAATTCTGATATCTTTTCAGTTGGATGACTATTTGCTGAAACAATTGGTCGACCTGGATTTCCCGTTTTATGTATTTTAGGCAACATATAGAATCTTCCGGCCTTTGCTTCGTTCTCAAGAGGTCGGAGATAATCAAAGGTGTCATTGTCTATATGCTTTTTGTCGAACGTCTCTTGAAGGATGGTGTTGATCCTTCGAATAATATTTAGTGTTGGATCTGTGGTTAATTGTTTATAAAAAATGGAGTTTGAAAGTTGGCGATTTCCCTCTGCTATGTAATCTGTTTTATTCATGACAACCACAGCGCCCCCTTTGTCGGCAGGTTTTATTACGATATCCTCTTGATCTTTTAACGCTTTCAAAGCAATGCTTTCTGACTTGGATAAATTATAATTTCTTGTATTTGTTATACAGGACTTTATATCAGACCTCACGTAGTTAATGAATGACTCCAAGTTATCATTTTTACTCTAAGGTGGTTTCCATGAACTTTTTTTCTTAAATTTTGGGATGGGCGTGACTTCTACATTGGTGTCAGTATCTGAATCTGTTAATCCAGCTTCTTCAAGGTTTTTCTTGCCCCTATTGTAGAAAAAATCTTTCAAGCGTAAACGTCTAGCGAATTGGTCTAAGTCCTCGTCTAGCTGAAAGTTATTTACATTTGATGGGATAGGACAGAAGTTTAAACCTTTACTTAAAAGAGATTCTTCAGCACGTGTAAGTTCTTTAGATGACAAATTTACAACAATGCTTTCAGTTTTTTGTTTCCGTCTTTTAAATTTTCTTTTTCTAGGGACCTTATGGTTTGTTGTATAGATATCATTCATATCCTGATTTAAATAGACAGTGTGAATTTTATCTCTTTGAAATTTATTCCTTTGTTTTTATTTATGTTTGGATAGTTAAATTTTTTCAATATCTGCGAGGCGACGTTTTATTATTGGTAAATCGTCAAGTGAAATGTTACTATTGTTGATGATATCTGATATATATACAAGTCTAAATTGAAAACAACGTTCAAACTTATGATTGCGTCGGATATATATATATATATTATTACTTACCTTTATATTAGGTGTTGTTAACCATTGTCCAAGCTTTCTTTGTTTACTAGTCTTTCAGTTCGTATATATTTTATGAAGAAAATATCAATAAGTGTAATTTTACTAAACCACGTGTTTTCAAATGCCTGATAATGTAGGAGAACATTTGTATTTAAATTCGTCAATTGTATATATGTTTATCGATATATGTATTGTCTAATTATTGAATGCTATCTGAGTCATCCATTTTATACTTAGTCCATGAAAGGAATCACCTTGAATTTAGTACTTCAATGGTGCAACGTTTTACACAATTAAAGCTATTATGAAATAGTGTACATTAAAGTTTGACGCATTATAAATCAATATCTATTCGAATCAATGTTTACTATGTATTGAATATATGTTATTGCAAGAAAATAATGTTATATATGTTTTTTAATTGTGTTTACGTCTTACTATAAATAACAATGTTTGTAATTCCAAGCGGTATACAAAGAGTGCAATTATTTATCATTTTTTTCTAAAAGTCTTTCATAAATCTGTTGCAGGATTTGTTGATTGATTTCCGTTACTGTGACAATAAATAAACGTTACATTGGATTTTGATCATGTTGATTAATCTTCTTTTCGGAGGAGGCTTTATTAGTAGTACCATGTATTACGTGCTAGGTACAGTTTGTCAAACATATATATTGAATGCATATAATATGTATAAAGTCCATTTATAGTAATATTATTAACTTTACTACACAGTAGACATCAATTCCGTGTTGATATGAGTTATCATTGATATGGTAATAATAAATTATCTGTTTTTGGCAAAACGTTTAGGAATTTCTTCAACTTCGTACTTTATTTTGCTGTTTTAACTTTTTTTTATTCCAGCGTCACTGATGAGTCTGTGTAGACGAAACGCGCGTTTGGCATACACAATTTCAATCCTTGTATCCATGATGAGTTTATACGTAACTTTTAAATATTTTTGAAGTCGTGGTATTTGCATTTTTGCATTAAATTTCTAGATCATGTTAGGGTCAATTGCGTTTGAACTGCTTGTAATTTGTATTTATTTATTTAAGAAATCAATGTATGGCGAGCATGTTCTTTCAATTAAAAATAACTGGCACAATCACTATGATATTTTTAACTTGAATTAAGTTGAGAACACTGAATCAGAAGTGTATTATTGTAGAAAAATATATTGTAGGAATATAAATTAATTCCTGGCGAAAAAGGCAATTATTCAACAAACGTCATTTTCAATATTGACGCAAAACCTAAATTATTCAAATTTTAACGACATTTGATATCCATATACAATGTATAGAAAATTATCTGATTTCCGGTTCCAAAATTATCCGTTGGCTCCACTTTAACAACTATATTTTGGTCACTATTTTCAAAATGCACACATTATTTGTTCATATTCCCAAACAAGATGGTTCTATGCTGTCATGTCCGCTTTCCAGTTTGATACAAAATTGAATACACACCAATCATGTCATTGACCCAAAATACAAATAATCAATAAGCTAAACACAATGTTATATTTATACTTGCTTTAGATTAGTTGTTGCAACTCATATACGCAGCGTTTTCTTTTTAATACACATTAAGTTCGTTTGTACTTTCTGGAAAAAAAATATGACAACTTACCCATGTCATTTCCACTAAAACTACGAGTCTTTAAATACCAAATGTAGGTGAACATTTATACTTATATTCGTCTATTGTTTATTTGTTTATTGGTAGCTATTTAAATGTTCATGTTTGTGTTTTTTTAAATTACTTGAATGTTATTAAAACAGTTTTCGAGTCTGTGCTTATAGCATGCAAAACAAATACTTTAAATAATAATATCACACAAAAACGGCGTATGACTTCTTTCCAGCGAACTGTTTTAATTCATAAAGAATAGTCTTTACAGTAACATGTGTCATGTCTAACATTTATATATTTCAGAATCCAGATAGATTTAGAATAAAAAAATGGTTTATTTTGCGATAAAATAATTAACATGTGTTCTTATTAATTTGTTGATATCTAACTGACAATGTTGGTAATTCCAAGTGGAATAAATAGACTGCAATTATCTATCATAGAGCGGTTGCCGGATTTTCAGATTGATTTCTACTTCTGTGACAATGAATAAATATTAAAGACATTTGCACGAGTTAAACGGCTAGAAAAGAGGTGTCAATCCAACTTTTGTAGAATGTTTACCGCACGGAAATTATTGTAAATTATGGAAGCACTTCTACTGGCACATAGTGGATGGATGTGCAACTTAGCTTTTGACATCAGGCTGTAGACATCAGGTGCATAATCCCATATTGTGCTTAAACCAATAAAAGGTATTGATATTGACTTTCATTTCAACTGACACGGGACAAATTATTTACCGCATTGATATGTACACAGATACAAGAAAATGTTTGTCGATACCCGTAAAAGATAAGTGTATTTGGTGTTGCGGAATACTTGGACAATGCGTTCAATTAATGGTAAGATATGTACAAAAGCTATCAATGTAACAACCAGTTTTCAGCTACTTTGGTGTCAGGAAATACATGTATATAGAAAAGGTGAATTGAGACACCTTAACTCTGAGGGTGAACTGGAATGATGAGATGCTGTTATGAACCTCTGATACATGATTCAACCCAGGTATTTTCATGAATGAAAGGTCAGAAAACAGCTTTCAATTCTTATAGGAATAAGCAAGACTTTGTCGAAGCGATATTATGGTGAGTTATGGAAACAAGTCTAATGGTACATAGTGGAAGGGCAATTAAAAGTCTTAACACTAAGCTGTAGTTCTCATGTGCATTATTTTATCTGGGCATTTATATTAATTTAAGGTATGAACAATGACTTTCATACCACCTACCACTGATCAAACACACCATGCACATTGTCGTTAAGAACTGTGCCCAAATTTAGAAATGTGAGTCCATAGCCGTTATGGATAGGTGACTTAAACTTTGTGGCGCCGCTGAATACTTGGAGTACATTATCCTTCCAAGGCGTTAAGGCGAGTATACATATCGAAAAAAGCTTTCATTTTGCTTAGCATTGAAGACGAGAGATACTTTGCAAAACAAACATCTTGCAGATCATTGATGACTGGAGATGTTCTCCCGCAGACAGCTTGCACACCATTATTGGATGGATATTAATGGGAATTTTCAACAAATATAGACCGCTTACAACGGTTTAACGGGTGGTGTTCCACAATACAGTCGATGATAGGGGATCATGTCCAACAGACAACCCGACGAACAAAATGTAAATATTGTACCTCTGACAAAAGCTTCAATGGTTTGACAAGTATACAAGTCTGTAATGACGGACCAAAAAAGGATTTCAACAAATCCAGTCTTTCATAGAAGATCACATATTGTTTTTTGTTGTTGGTTTTAATTCGAGTAATGCAGTTCTTTTTGATTTCTAACCCTTTCCATTTAAAAAGTGTTCGACTTACAATTTGTCTTCAGTTTTAGTTGTTTAAACTGATATTCGTCGCACAAAGCGGCATAACTCAGATCTAATTTGGTAACCATTATTGCCCAAAACATAAAAAGGGGTAAACAAAACGTCATTTAAGGGCAATCACTCCGATAAAGAATCTACTTACTATTCAGATATTGTCTTGCTGATAATTTTTGTTACCCAAAGTGTCTTTTCTATCTATTATAAATTTTCAAGGTAATAGACAAAAACATATATAAATTGGTAAAAAACTTCATGCAAGAGCAAAACTCCAATAATGAGTCGACTGACAATTTCAGTCATGTTGACGTATTGTAGATTATATTTTATTGATCAATTTTACTTTTAAAAGTGTTTATCTATCTAAAATAATTTTTAAGATAATAGGCAAAAATACAAAACATATCTGTAAAAATCATCATTATAGAGTAATTACCCCAATAACAAGTAGACTAATGGTTTTGGCCAATTTATTTATTTGTAGAGCAATTTGCTTTTTTGAGTTTATTTCTATCTTTTACTGCTTTTATGATATTCAATACAAGCGCCAAAAAGTGTTAAAAATCGTTAGTAAAGGGCAGTAACTCTGAAAAAGGGGTCATCTAGCAATTTCGGCTATGGTGACTTATTTGTAAATCTTGTCTACTTAAAGTTTATCTCTATATTATAGATTTTAATATAATAGGCAAACATAAAAAAAATAGTACAATTCGTCATTTAAGGGCAATAACTCCTGATATGAGTGATCTGACTGTTTTGACGTAAATGGACAATAGGTAGACCTCAACAATAAAATATTCTGTATTAACAGATCTTTTCTGTGTGTAGCGATTTTCAAAATAAAAGACAACACTTGCATTTTACTTCTATGTTCTATTTGTAGACATGTCTACCATCTTAATTGGCAGGCGATGTCATCGGACACATTTTAAAACTAGATGCCCCAATGATGATAATGGCCAAGTGTGGTTAAATTTGGCCAAATAGTTTCAGATGAGAAGATGTTTATAAAAATGATCAGACGACGGACGCCAAAATGATGACAAACGATCACACTGTCCTTTCGGGTTACGTCAACTAAAAAAATAGCAAATCTTTCAAACAGAAAGAGATTTATTCACTCAGTTTGTATAGTTTTTCTTTGTTTATCATGTTCATAGGTTTTAAAGATATTTTTTTACATCAAAGATAAGAGAAGATGAAAATGTATCACAGTGATATTATCGGTGACAAAAAGACACAGACAGCAATACAAATTCATACAGTAGATATGTATAGTTGATTAATTTCTTTGAATTAGGACAAAACAGTTTTGAAAGAGCACATAACCAATTGCAAAAGAAACATATGGTGTTCCTTGATTTGTTTTAGTGGTTTTTTGTTGTTGCTAAAAACAAACAACCTGATTTTGTCAATGCTATCGACATGTATAGGTAGCATTTCTGGTTTTGGCACAACATAATGTCGCAGTGTTTATGTAAGCATTCATACTGTTTACCCCAACATTATATGAATCTCTGGTATTTCGTCGTGTGAGTGTTTTAATGATGTAACTCCCATTTTTCGAAATGTTGAGAAATCGAATTTGAACGCTTTAAAGTGCAATATCATAAATATTTGACAGAGAAATTTGGATGCTTATTACAAGCATCTTCATGAAAACAACGCCTTAAACTTGCTTCGATGAGTTATTATCCCCCCCCCCCCCCTTGCTACTGTCCCGTATACCTATAAAATGAAATCACGGAGGGACAAGAGTAATTTAGTCTACCGAATTAGACTTATTACCGGGTTTGTACTAACATGAGCATCACGAAGGGTGTCACATGTGCAGCAGGAACTGCTTACCCTTCTGGGGCACCTGAGATCATCCGCAGTTTTTGGCGA